CTTTGCTTGGAGATTGTTCTAGACCGAACTCCTTGGATATTTTGATTGAAAGTTTGAAACGTCCTCAAGTGTCCGGGATGTGGCTGAATGTTGCTGTGCTGGAAGTATGCATTATAAACATCAAAGCAAGTTATTTAATAATCCACTGTGCTGTTTATGTACTGTCTGAGCAGTGGTCTTTCAAGTCAAAATGTTCAAAGATCATGTGGAATGCACGTCCAGAAGCCGCGGCATTGCCTTTTGTTCATTGATGGTTGTATCCTCCAAAAACAGAGTTTAGTAGTGGACAGAAAACACCAATTGCACCAGATTGAAGAAACCGATACTCTTAATTTTATGACGTTCAGGATTTATTGCTTTTCTCAACTACAAGGTAAGTTTCTGGCGGAAGTTGACTATGAACAGAATCATGATATGGAGTTCCTAGACTTGATTCCCAGAAGGTAGTCTCTAGATGTGATTTTAAAGAGAAACCTAATGGGATTGTATCTCCTGTAGCTGACGCTGGCTAAATGTTCGTGATCATATTTGATTATATGGATTATGCTTTTGGAATGTCTGGCTACCTAGATATTCGGTCATGCAGTTAGGATTGGTTCTCTAGTTCTTGCTTTTTGGGCTCCTGTAGGATTAGCTGTGTATAATGCCCAAGTTAAACAGCTGTTTCCCCTTGGTATTCCCTATGTATTCGCATTGTATTGTATGAGGTTTGTTTTATGGCATGCTTAGTTTTTGAAAATTTGTTGCTACCTTGGTTTAATATCTCCCCGCCTAATCACTAATCGCCACACACCTTGCATGTGAAATCTCTTGCACCTGGCAATGACCATTCAAAATCATGTAAAGCCGTTATCCGTCACCCAGAGCATATGGTCGACTTTTTCTGATCATACTGCCTAAGCCATGGTTGCAATTGCTGTGGGACTGCGCATGTCCTCTTGAGGATGGCAGAAACCCTTTCTTAGTGATATGATTCCCGATGTCGTCCTGAAATTTTGGATTTATGTCTGTGCGCTGTGGAGGAAGAAGGGCAGGGTCTAGGAAACGTCGATCCGAAGAAGGGCAGGGTCTAGGAAACGTCGATCCATAGATTTGACTCCCTGACTCTACCATTACCTCTCATACATGATATATGTGCCCGTTTGGATGAGCGATTGGAAAAACTGCTTATTGAAAATAGCTTATGAATAAGTGAAGTGGGATAAAAGCTAAATTGGATAAGCTGAATTGTGTTTGGATTGGAGTTCAGAAAAGCCTGTTTGAAAAGTGAGATTGGTAAAAAGTTGTTTGGATTATGGTTGAGTAAAAGTAAGTTTGGTTGTAAAATGACCAAAATGGACATGAGTTTTAATAAATAATAAAAAATGGAAAAAAAATTTGACATAATACAATGAATTAAAATAATTTAATATGAATAAGTGAATTAAATATTAAAATTTTAGAGAAATAAAAATTATTTTAAATATAAAGTGAAAGAAGAAAAAATTGAATTGAGATGATATAATAAAGAAGTAAAATTTAATGAGTGAATTAGAATTAAGAACTTAGAGAAATCATAAAAAATATGTAAGAAATGAAGTGCAACATGATAAAAAAAATATTAACATAATACAATAAATTTAAATTAATTTAATACAAGAAGTGAAATTGATTGAGTGAATTAAATTTGAAAGCATCAGAGAAATGAAAAAAAAGATTGTTATATTACAAATTTTGAAAACTAAACATAATTTAAATGGATAACAAAGTTTTGAACTCCAATTGACAAGTAAAACAAAATAATATTACATAATTAATTAATTGATAAACTATGAATGATTTGTACGTCTAATTTGGATTAGGGTCTTGATTAGTGATTAAGTAGATCTTTCTCTAAAGATATTCTTTCCAAGATTCCAACTCCCAATATTTGAAGGACAAGTTTCTTTATTCCATTCTCAAATGTGTCCTCACCAACCTCTCTACCTTGAATGCTAACGTTGAACATACAGAACATATCCTTGCATTGTACTTACCATTGCACCGTCTAATTTTTATCCCCGGGCAGAAGCTGGTTTGACTAAAACCGTTTAAATTCAAGTTTTAATTATTTAATATATGTAGTAAATAGAAACAAAATAATTTTTGGACTATAACCTTAAAACGATTGCCATAAAAAATCTATATAAAAAAAAAGATAAGTTACAAATTTAAAAATTAATTAATCACAACAGCAATTACAAAAACTTTTTTTCCTCGGCGGACTTGGGAATCTTCATAAAAAGTTTAACGAATCCATTGCCCCATAATAAATCATTAATTACAATATTTACTTATTAAAAGCAAAACAGAGCACAAGACAAAATAACAGAGTTAAACCGCATGCGTGGTCCCCTGTAGGGCCGCCTCTTGTGATTCCTCGTCGCCGTCACCATTCACGAGGCTGCTCTCACCGTGAGCTAACTCAGACAACGATTCCACCGGCACCGCCCCGAGTTCCTCGCCCAACAAAAGCACATCGACCTCCCTCATGGTTGGCCTTCTCTGCGGATCAGGGTGACAACAAGCTAAACCAAGCTTCAAAATCATCTCCATGTCTCCCTCATCGTACTCACCCTTAATCCTTGCATCTGCCGCGTCGACTACACTCCCGTTAGCGTACAAGTCCCTCACCCAGTCAATCAACACTACCTCCTCCAAGCTCGCATGAAGGACCAGGCTCTCGGTCACTCAAAGCCACACCCAACACGATGACCTCACGGAGGAGACGCGACGAAGCTCACGGCAACTCTCGGTGGTTCTGGCGATGACGCGACGGAGGAGGTAGGATGAGGGCTCACGGGTCGCGGAGAATGGAGAGCAGACGCGAAAGAAAAAAAGAAAGAAGACTTCAGGAAGAAAAAAGAAATGAGGGACTTCGAAGACTTCAGGATGAAATGAGGGACTAGCTGACAGATATCTCAACGGTAAAAAAATAAGCCATTACACTGATCCAATAAGCCACAAAAGATAGCTTGGGCCAGAACGTGCGTTCATCAGCTTAAATTCCATAAGCTACTTTTTTTTTTAAGCCTAACCAAATAGGATCATTAGACCAATCGGGCTTACACTGCTTTTAAGCTCCTTTTAAGCTCTCTAAAAGCCCTACCAAACGGACCCATAGTCAATTTTTAGTTTGTCTTTTAGCCTTGAAATGGATATGGCGGGAATATCTGGTACTTGCAGAATGTCTGTGGTCTGAGCAATGGTCCATGGGGCCCAATTTTGGGATGAAGACAGAATTCCCGGCGTTTTGCAGCCTATAGGAATGACAATTGTTAAGAAACATAATCCATAAGCGAGTGCGGTAGCATCCAACACTATCAATGCAAAGTCTGAGGAGATCATCATGCATCATTTTTAAGGATATTTCTAATATGTTTTCTCCTTCTTCTTTTTTTAACAGGTTTAGGATATGCTGTTTTAAGTTCCACCAGCATACTCTCTCTCTCTCTTCTTGTCCTTTTTTCTGCGATGCAATTTCAGACTTGATTATTACTGAGAATTCATCATTTTTAGTAATAATTCATCCTTTTAGGATATGCCATTTTAACTCACGCTCACGCTCACGCGCACGCACAACACAAAATCAATTCATTTTCGCTAAATAAAATTAAATATTCTGTACTTTCCACATGTTGTCTTATCGTTCTGTTATTTATCTCTAGTTTTAATTTTAATTTTATTTTGTTCATCTGTTGATTAGAACACTACCTTCCAATCACATTTGATTTATTTTTATTACTGGTATGGTCATATATTCTAAACAGTAAACTTTTCCTTACCTTGCGAATAATGATGCTCCCTCTCAGTAGCAGTTGAGATGTGTGATGAAAGGTGCGATGCTTTCATTAATTTCCTATATGACATGAACTGTGACTTAGGTTTTGAAAATGATGTTAGTAGTTTGAGCTAAAATTTGTTTTGCCCGACCATACACCATTTTAGTCGGAGAAAGGGGCACTGAACAAGAAAATTGAACGCTACAGAACCGCACTAGGGCAGGTAAATCCTCATGAGCAAAGGCAGTGAGTAAAGTGAAGGGATTGATTCATGAGCAAGGATACGGATTTCAATGACTGCCTCCTCTGACGTGGAAGGAGCACCGGCGTTTCTGATCATGCAGCAGTCTTCCAATTGCCCCTAAAAGGGTACAGTGGACCGCATCAAGGGATATTCTGCTGCAACTGTAATACAGAGTTCAGTCGTCATGGTCCAAACCCAAAGCTCTTTGCTGGTCAGTATGGGATTTTGGCTGAGCTGCAGAGAGCTTGGTTTGTGATCCAAAACTGCCCTCTTATATATAAAACCCATAGGGGATGTTGTCGGAGCATCACCCTCACCGACAACACTAATAGATTCGTTTATAATTATATGAGAAGTGTCATAGATCCCAAAGGATGGCGTAAATGGAGTTGACGTGGGGACTGAAACAGCAAGCCTCGGAGACTATTATGACCGAGAACACGATATAGAATGCCTCAGAAATCAGATGTACACACTGAAAGAGAACCGTAATGTTTCCAGATATGGTGTATAACAATGTCGCAAATAGCTAAAAAAGGCCAAGAGGCGAGTGAGCATGCACCCGTAGGGCCTTACGTTCACGGAAATATTCGAAATATTCAAATTTGTTCAACTTCTCCAGCAAGGTCCCCTACGTCTATAGTATGCAACGCATGGCTGCTTAAACATCAAATTTGCTGGGCCCTAAGTCATCAACCTTTGCCAATGGGGAAAAATTCATAAGAACGATGAAGAACTGTTAGCCAGAATGTTTGCTAATTTCATGCCGTTAATACCTCTCCCTTCCAAATTAAAAAAAGAAAAGAGAAGAAAAAAGAACACACATGATAAAAAATGTGGGGCCCGTATTCCGAATCCAGAAAGACAATAAAGATGGATTGGCATCTGATCCTCACCGGATAACAAAATGCAAATACTAATTACTGCCGAGTAATTGGAATCAAATATAAGTACATAATCCTCACCAAATAACTATGTGCATGGACTACATAGTCAAGAACGAAAAGATGTCAAGCAAAGCTAGCGAGGCAGTGCATCTTCTCTTACCTTGGTAAGTTTGGATTCCTTTCTCAGCTAACAAATAAAGTTCATCCAGAATTAACATCAACCATCGTGCCATAGCTGCTCTCTAAACGCTCATTATTCCCTAATTTACCTTCGATTTTAGACTTATCCTCCCCACCAGTCGTCCAACGACTCCCAAAAGAATCAGGAGCAACATTTTTCTGAGCAGCCTCTTTAGCAGTCACAGACGATACATCCTGGGGCGACAATGAAGGCGTGTTATGGAATCTTGTACAACCAATAAAATCTTCGTTTTTTCCGGTAGACTTCGGTCCAGGATCAGTAACCTTCAGAATCTATCTCTATCCCTCGCTACCAAGTTCCTAGACCCAGAAACACGCCCGGCACCCTCGATACGCCGAACCTTGAGAACTACGGAGAATTTCTGCAATGCCTCTTTAGCTCTCTTGCGAGCCAAGGCAGCTTCCCTAACGGTCCTATCGGCTTTGGCTCTGGCCACGGTCACAGCCTTGTTCAGGGACGCAGAAGCGATCTTCGCGGCACAGAGAAGCACCAGGGAAAGCTTTTTATCAAGGACAGGCCGAGTTTTAGTTAAGCCAGGGTTGGGTTTGTCAAGGTCGAAGAAGAAATAGTTTGGAGTGGAGCAGGGAGGACAGAGAAAAGAGGAATGAGGAGGAGGAGGAGAAGGGAGGCACCGAATGTGGGTGAGGGAGGAGCATTTTATACAGGATAGGAAGCGATGGGCAGAGGCAGAGGAGGTTGAAGACAAAGGGTGATCGAAAAATTCGAAGCAAGAGGGGCAGAAGGAAGAAGGATGAAGACGGAGGACGCAAGAGGTGCAGAGGCGGCGATCGACGCCGCGGAGCTGAACGTGGTGCAGAAGCCAACGGTTTTTGAAGCCACAGTTGCTGCATTCGGCCTTCACGCTGGTACTGTTGGCGGAGCTGCCATTAAGCGTCGTGACCGGAGAGGGTTTTGACGGTGGAAAATTCATAGGGTTTGCTGTAGAGAAAACTAGAGAAATAAATAAATAAATAAGCTTTAGAAGGAGAATCCACAAAATGCGAGTTCTAGGGTTTGCAGCAGAAGCTGAAGGGGGGGAGGGTGCAGGGTGCAGGGTGGAGGGTGCAGGGTGCAGGGTGGTGGGGATGGCTGAACGAGGAAGGCCCGTGCAGTAGGCACGTCTTTTTCAGATGTTTGTAGCAGGTCTGTGATTGATTTTTTTTAAAATTACTTTTATAGGATATTAATTAAAGTTCTTTTTGAAAGAAAACTCAGAACTGGGAATGCAGAATATAGGCTTGTTTACTTATATACGATCAACAGTAAAAAAATTTATTCAGATATGATAAGATCAAAACTATTTATCAAGATACTACACCTAAAATCGTTCAGATCGTGAGTGATTTTAAATTTGTATAGAACTCGTTCTTAGTCTGAACAACTTCAATAGGACCTGCATTAGAAAATGAAAGTTGTTTTTTGTTTGAACAACTTCAGTGGGACCCACATCACAAAATGAAAATTGTTCTTGGTTTGAACAACTTCAGTGGGACCAACAATCCATATTTGTCTTATGCTCCACATGAAATTGCTTCCTTCCATGTCTTTTCAATTTTCATTTGACCAGACCATACTTTTGCTTTTTCTTGCCACACGCAGGGTCACTTAGGGAGTACTCTTTCATTGTTTGAAGCTCAACTCACGTGTAAGGATTCCTTTCCTACATATATCAGTATAGGTCTATAGGACTCAGGGAGTGGTCATTCATTGTCTTCAGCTTTGTTTTGACATGTGAATGCATAGTGTAATTTTGGTCTATATAATGACATTCGATATTCCCACTCCATTTGCCTTCTCATCACTTCTCAAATTGTTCTTAAACTTAGCCAATTCCTTCCATTCTTCTCTCTCCTTCCACACTTTTCGTGTAAAGTAGGTGGTATGTGCGGTCTTGCAATTGTATACATTTTAGAAATTAGAGACTAAAAGGAATATAATTATTTTTTGACTAGCACATAAAAGTAAATTTACATTGAATAATGATAAGCTTATAATAAATGCACTTGTGTAATTTTATATTAGGTACCGTTTAAGTAACTCAAAAAAGCATCCTTATGATTGAAAACAAAAATAAATGTTAATAACTATTTCACACTAGTTATTTAAAAATTATAATTACTTAATATGACAAAACAATTAGCCATTGCTGTTGAGTAATTTTTTTTAAATTTATATTTTATTATCTGGTCTCGCTAAATAATTATAATTTTTATGATTATCTTTAATAAATTTGCTTTTCTTAAGTCATCCTCTCTAATTTTTCCCCAAAAATTAAATAAAAAAACTCCTCTCTTTTGTTATTATTAATCCCACCATCAGTACTCTTTTTATCAGAGAAATTTGGACACCATTTAGTGCTAGTTTTCACCAAATATAAGACTAGACTAAGCTCACAACCAAATATTATCTAACCAGATACATATTTAATCTGACTACATATTTACTCAAACACTATCTACTAAAAAAATAGTTATATATTTAATCAGATTATAAAAAAGTAAACTACAATTTATTTTATATGACAATTAATTATATGTCTACATTTTTTAATTAAAACAAACTCAACATGTAAAAATGACTAAAAATAAAATTTTTATCCATCATTTAGCAAAATACATACCAAAATTTTTTAAAAAAATTTAATCAAGAGAATGTACCTTATTCAGAAGAAAAATCAAGCTTCAAGTTGAGATAAAATGTATACAATTACAAGACTGTACACACCACCTACTTTGCACGAAAAGTATGGAAGGAGAAAGAAAAATAGAAGGAATCGGCCAAGTTTAAGAACAATTTGAGAAGTGATGAGAAGGCAGATAGAGTGGGAATGTCGAATGCCATTATATAGACTAAAATTACACTATGTACTCACATGCCAAAACAAAGCTGAAGACAATAAATGACCACTCCCTGAGTCCTATACTAATGGGAATATGTAGGGAAGGAATCCTTACGCGTGAGTTGAGCTTCAAACAATGAAAGACTACTCCTTGAATGACTTTGCGTGTGGCAGGAAAAAAACAAAAGTATGGTCTAGTCAAATGAAAATTGAAAAGGCATGGAAGGAAGAAATTTCACATGGAACGTAAGACAAATATGGACTGTGGATAAAGTTGTTCAGACCAAGAATGAGTTCTGTACAAATTTAAAATCGTTCACGGTCTGAACGATTTCAAGTGTAGTATCTTGGTGAATAGTTTTGATTTTATCGTATTTAAGTAAAAAAATTTACTGTTCATCGTATCTTAGTAAAAAAAAACCAGAATATAACATTTATTTTGGATGTAAAATACAAAAAATGGTTTAACAAAATTTAACTTGTTTAAGTCTTATAAATCAGATCCAAGTGATTTAAACAAAACTATAAATATTTCTCATGTATATTAGTATATTTTGATGAGCCTCGTAAATAGAATATGAGTTTATAGATGATTAAACTTATTTGTTCTTGGATAACTAGTTTAAATAAGGATATTTAAATTATCTTTTGTATTAATTAAAATGCAAGAAAGCATATTTAAGATTAGGTGGCAAAGTTTAAATTTTATGTTAAATTTATATTCTTTGTGATCGACCACCTAGTTTGAAGATGACCGAATCCGGTCGGGACAAAAAGAAGAGGAAGATGATCGAAAACACCGTATATTTAATTTGTGGTTACTTCTAACATGTGAAATCAAAACTGCTTAGAACCGAAATAGAATTATAAAATGCGCCCATATCCGCAATTATTAGGACTACCAAGCTTTAAAAACGTGGAAAAACCGAAAAACCGAATTTCATATAAAAAGCACAAGAAAAACTTGAATTGCTCTTTATGAATTGTAGCTTGAAATATCCCCCACTTGCGCTTTTTGTAAAAAGTGCTTGGATGTGTCTAAAAAGACTTTTTAAAAGTATTTTTTAATAAATCAAGATAAATTCCTATACATATTTATTTTGTATATTATAAAATCACTTTTAAAATTATAGTTTGATTTTTATCTAAATTTTTTTACTAAACACCTTTTGCTTTAGTTGAACCCTAAAATTACCCATATGACAAGGTCATATGGAAAATTGTAAGCAGATTCTGCCTCAGTTTTCATCTCGATTCCCTCGCCATTCACCAACAAAGAGGGTGCTTGAATTGCCGAAGTAATTTTACGCTCTATAATGTAAATATGTAAAAAAAAAAAATTGTTTTAACTTGTATAAAAATACCTTTTTAAATGCTTTTAGAAATTACCAAATATCCCCCGCAGATTTCAACCATGCTAAAGGGGATCTGACTTGGTAAGGATTTTTACTATAATGAACTGCACGAAAATACATCAATTTAAACTAGCACCTGCAGCAGATGAATAATGATTCCCGCGAAGCCACCATAACATAATTACAATTTATGGATTCGAATTTATAACTTAACCCATATTTTATTATCACCAAAAAAAGGAAAAAAGAAAAAGGAAAACCGTAGGCCTATGGAGGTTTTCTTTCCAGTCCAATCGATGATAAAGCCGCTCGGTGTTTTGTACAGATGCCAGTTCCCCCATTCCCCACTGGAATTCTGTCAATAAAACCAAAACTAGAATACATTAGTTGAGGGTTATCCAAATATTGCTCGGCAAGAAAAAAGTCAGCCCCTGAAGACTCAAAAACGAAATCAAGCTCAAAGTAAGCTAAATTGTTCTGTATACCCTGAAGAGAAAATACCAATGGAGAAAGGAATATTTACTGCTTTAGCAAACACAAAACCAATCATACATCATCAGGGTGTATCACTGCAGTCACTCACTCTGTCTAGTACTCTACAATGGCTCCTTACAAGTGGACTTGTTGTGCCCAAGTCCCCTGCATCGGCTGCACTGGAGCTGACGCTTGACTATGCCTTGTGATCCATATCGCTTTTTTGTAGGTCGACCAGGTGGTCGTCGGGTGGGAGGAGGTGTTACAGTTACCATAAGTTCAGAACCACTTAGGGCCGGAAAATCCACGCTCGGAAGAGGATGTAAAGACTCTGAATAAGTCAATCTGTAGCTTTCAGTCGTGAAGTATCTGGAGCAATAATCATAAACACTCCGGCCAACGCCAATGATGACAGCAACAGCATGGCAGCATGGAATACCAGTTAGCTGCCAGCCTTTGCAACTACAGTCCCACCGATCAATATCAACCACCTCAACAGAGCCACCACGAACCTCGCATGTGCTACCAGCTGACAACAGAACTTGAAGTGAATGAGCTTGCCTACTTTCATTTTCGAGCTTTTCCTCCTTGGAAGGAGTTAACCTAGTCAACCACTGGTCAGAGGCTGCCCCTCTTGTAACAAACAACTCCATAATCTTACCCCTTATCACTTCAACCATATGTGTTATTGGCAAATCATCTGCATTTGATGCCCAGCTATAAAACAGCTCCCCAAAGTTTGATGTCATGTGATTATACCTGGCACCCTGAAAATATGAATTCGCCCAATGTTGAGGTTCACTCTGTATAATCCAATTATAAGCTTCTATTGAAATACTTTTGATGCTCTCAATACAGCTTTGGAAGCCCTCTGGTTTGGATGCACAAGCAGCAGTGTACAAATCCTCTATCATGAGTCTCTTGACCTCATGAGAAAATTGCCCTTTCAAATCTCTAAAGAGTTGCTCAGTCAAATACCGTAGGCAATAGCCATGAAATGAACCAGAAAAAACCTCAGCAATTGAATTTTTCAACCCTTTCTCTCTATCTGCCACAAATGTTATGGGACAGGATGTTGATAGCACGGATTTGAGTTGAACCAAGAACCAATGCCAGTTATCATCAGATTCTGCATCAACAATAGCAAAAGCAAGAGGAAATACATCATCATCTGCATCTGCAGCAGTTCCAACCAATAATGTTCCTTGGTATTTTGACTTTAAAGAAATGCTGTCAAGGAAGATCAGTGGCCGGCAACCTTGTTGGAAGCCATACAATGAAGCATGAAATGATACAAACAGACGATGGAAGCTTGAGTCTTCTTTTGTGGTGCAAATAGCCAAACTTCCAGGATTGGCCTCCATTATCTTCTCGCAGAAAAAAGGTAACAGACTATATGCCTCTTTATAGGAACCCTGGAGCTGCTCCTTTGCAATCTCTTTTCCACGCCATGCCTGAAAGTAGTTAAGTTGTATTCCATATTCCTGTTTGATATCACTGACAATATCCTTCGGCTTATAATTTGGACAAACTTTTAACTTCTCCTTTATAATACTGGCCACCCAACTTCTGGTCGCTTGATGCCCCGTTGTTGCAACAGCACCTTCACAAATATGAGCTGGATTCATTTTCTTGATGCATATCAATTGAGTAGTTGACAACCTTGATGCATGAATTCTCCAAGGACAACCTTCTGCTTTGCATCTAACAGTCACCCGATGACTATCATTTTTCTTATACCTAAAAGCAAATTGATGGGCAATAGCATATTTACGTAATGATTCACGGAATTCATGAACACTACTGAACCTTTGACCTACACCCGTGATAGCATTCTGCCATTGCTGTGCTCCTTTGGCGTGCTTATCATCATTTGAGATAACATTTGCCAAATTCTGGGCCACTTGATTGGCATCATCAACAACTTCAAGAGCTCCATCATGTGGAATCACCGTCTGAGTAGTGTCATCCATGACACCACCCACAGCATCAAGAGGGGCATCAATCGGAACCACTGTTTCCGACAAGGTTGTTCTGCTCGACCTACATGCCCATGATTTAAAAATTTAAAATTAGAAAGTTCCTCAACTAGTAATCAGATAACGGCTTAGAAATAAAGAAAACTACCTACTGGCAGGCATGTTTGATATGTCAGGGGAAATTGCATCCTCAATGAAGATATAAATCTCAACAGAACTTGATTCTCCATGAAATTTAACCATCCGGTTTAGATCCTTGTCGTTAGAGATTGTAATGAGAGTCTTATTGTTCCCTGGAAGAAAATATTTGATAGACATGCTATTGGCACTAAAATTAAACATTTCCGCTACTTCTTCCTTAAACTCACTAAATTTCGTTTGATCATCAACGTCAATAGCATGAGCGTCACCACCTCTATATGACAAAGAACCATCTTTCTCAGTCTCAAATTCACCTCCAGACTGACATATTGCAATTATCTTCTTTTCAGCCATGACCTGCGACAGCACAAGATAATAGCTGGAATTGACATATCAATTGAAAATAATATTACAAGAATAAATTACAATGACGGTGGTAAAATGCAGAGAAGATTCAGAAAAAAGAAGTACACCAAATGTAACTAATTGCGACATCAAGGAAATGATAGCACCCTTTTAAATGAGATATTTTCCCTTGTTTGAGGCTTCCAGATTGGTTCAAGACTTCAAGTATTGGTTTAAGAAAGAAAGAAAATGATATCGCATTTTCATTCATCCGCGTTCAAGTGTCACCTTCTTCCATGGAAATTTCACAGCCCAAATGCACTCGGTATCTCTGCCAACATGTAGTGGTGTGTGTACGAGGGGGGAAATCTCCCATGTCCATTTGAAAGATCCTTTTATGATTGATAAAGAGTTTATCGACAAGAATTGCAGATAACAAGTCTGCGACTAGTTACAATTTTCAATATAAACCATACCTCAGAACAATAGATTGGCTACTTGCACGGGAAAAAAAACTTGATAAGAGCTTTTTTTTTTTTATTGAAGCAGTCCCACTGGCGAAAAATATTCAACAACAAAACGAAGATAGAGATTGGCTCCAACACTCGACTTTCTTAGAAATGATAGAGAAAAAGTAGTTTATATCAAGTTTCATCTAGTTCATCATATGCCCCTCCCGTCCGCCTTAACCGGAATAGATATTGCAGATAGAACAGAAGACTGAGATAGCTTATGGTATTCAATGCCATAAAGCGGCTGATTCCGAATCAGATAAAGAACAAAAAGCAGGAAACCCGTCACCGAGACATAAAAACTGAGAACAAGACATACCATTCATGCAATCAAAATCAAGCACCCGCAAGAAAAAGTTTTGATGAAGTTCCCCAATTTCGCCCCATTAAAAAGAAAGGGGCGTGACCGGCAAAAGCGAGTGGGATAGGAAGCGATGAGAAAACCCTAAAATAGACGCAAATGCGATCAAATTAATCGAAGGCGGGCGATGTTCACCTGATTGACGATTGTGTATCAGAAACGAGCGATATTTTCAACCCGCAAGCTATGTGAGAGACATCGAATGAAGACGTTGATTGAGTAGCGCCACATTTAGAGATGAGATTCGAGAGACAGGCGCAGATGGAAACAATGGAGTCGGTGAGGGTGGATAATTCAAGTGCTGCTCCCGTTGAAGTACGCCTCCGTCCGTTCCTGAAAACAAAACCACATACTTCTTCCTTCGTCGGTGTTATACTCCATAATACATACGGTTTCCTTTTAAATTACTTTTTTCCCCCAGTATGTGTCTAATAAATTTTAAAAAGAGGTATTTTAGATGAAAATACGATTAGACAAATTGAAAGAAGAATCTTTTGAGTATAAGGAATACAGGTAATGTAATGGAATAGATAGCAATCACGTAAAATTAAAGCTGGCAAAAAATAAAAATCACGTAAAATCAAAACCTCCTATTTTACGTCTTACTAACCAACTGTTATCTAACTATCTTTTTAACTTTGGTTGCCACGGCTTTTATTATCACTTAAAAGATTATTGTAATGAGAACCAGATTAATAAATAGATTTATTTTGATGTAAATTTTAACTGCCCCGAATCTTGGGTATTCCTACAATCAGGTTACATTACTAGAGCGTACGATAATAGGTTCTAATTATTCCATCAAATCTTGGGGTCAAGTCAATAGTTCCGAGCCCTAAGAATTAAGACGGCCAAAGCCACCATTTCGTCTTCCTTTATAACTTGTATTGATAGAATTTTGCCAATTATAATTTTATAATCCCTATTTTCTGTTTGACGTTTTTTCCTTTAATTTTCAAAAATTCACGATGGGCTTCGAATACAAAACGCGACTCACACATTGCGTGCTTTGTTTCTTTCAGTCAGCTACTCAGCTTCCCGATTTTGGTTTGTCTGAAGCGAAAAGGAGAAAACATCCCACATTGAGTAATTACAGCCTTCTGTTCTTACTTATAAGTTCTTGTGTCCTAAATACAGGTCATCGGGTATATTAAATTGATGATTTTTTTTCTACATTTACTTTTATTGAAAAAAAGATATTAAAAATATGTTTTATATTTCTTCTCAACTATTTATTACTCCCTCCGTTCCTTATTATAAGAGACATTTGATGCTTATGGCATGTTCCTATATATAAGAGACACTTAAAAGTTGTCTCTACTTTTTTGTGTTGATTTCCTATTTTACCCATATTTATTGTCTCTAACTCACACTCTCTCTCCTTCCCACTTCTCTTTCTTTTAATAATTTACTATTATTCTCTCTCATGTTCTCTCTCTTTATTAATGAGGGTATTTTTGGAAAAGAAATTATACTTTTTACACATTGATTGTTCTTAACTAATTTTAACTGTTTTTTTTATCAACGTAATTCAGTTATTCGTCTCTTATAATAAGGAACGGAGGGAGTATCTCTTTCTCTGCATTTATTAAGTCCATTAGAGTAAAATTGAAAAACATTCATTAATTATCCTTTAAGTAACTTATATTTAGAAACAGTTTTTTTCTTACAAGTAACTTACAAGATATAAAGAGTAACGTGTATTAAAAAAAAAAAAGATATAAAGAGTAACAGTTCGGTCAAAAAAAATAAAAAGAATGAGTCTTGCGATAAAAAAAAGTTCACATTCCCCAGGTTAAATTCTCTTCTTTGAGGAATGCAGACTAAATTAATGATGGCCACGGCAGAACTTAGACATGAAGCTTGGCGCACTGAGAGGTTTAAAAGCGAGAATTAGTCAATAGTCAGAGATGCACAATCATTGTTTCAATCATAATTCCACAGGGGTCCCAGCATCCAAATTCCTCTACATAATGTACAGTCCATGGTATCAAAACCATCATAACTAGCCAATCTTTCAAGCAATCACACATCCCTTGCTTTTATTCTTCACATTTTCAGACACTTCTTTCACACCTATCAAGTATCAACTGTAGTCTGCAGATAGATAAAATATCATTCTCAATTTTGATTCTAACGTAACAAGAACAACTAGAAAATAATTGTCAAATAACAGAGCACCCTGCTGCTATAGTCGAGTCATACTTCAAATGCGGCATGGAGAATTTACCAACTGTTTGTTTATGCGTGTTGATTTGATCATTGCCTATATGGCTCACGGATGAAAGCCAGACCTAGGAGGAAGAAAGGTGCTATGAATCCATTAAGACTTTTAAAATGGACTTATGGCGTTCATAATGGAAATATTTTGTACAAAATCAAAATCAGAGGGTATCTATCTACCTTGAGTTGAGAGGCCTTTCAATCAGACAGAAGGGCACAAGTAAAGCCATCGCGTACAAGTTGAGTAATCGCATCCCTGAACTTGTAATAATCATCAACCTTGTTGTAGACTTGGTGAGAGATTCGAGCATATCCAGTCACAGTCACAGATCCAACCTCCCCCTCTCTTAGAGTCCTATAATATATTGGGACTTCAATCCCAAGATTATCCCTCAAATGAGCCCTTAACTTGATAGCATCAGAATCACAAGTAATCCCCAAGGAAGCAGGCAAGGCCACCACGATCATGCTGGCACACACATGTGGAGGAGCCCCAGATGAGTCCCCCACGTTTCGGCCAACATCTCACCCATCTCTACAACAGTGTCATGATTCCTCTTCTTAATCCCTTCAATACCAGCTTCGAATCTGTCCACAAACCTCAAAACTGCAGGAACAACCAACTGGGGACGATAATCTCTCGTGCCTATCCACGAACATTCTATGGCCAACCCCTTGCCATACTCATGAGACACCATACGATGGTGCAAATCACAGGACTTGGGCGACCTGCGACAATACAAGAAGGCAATAGAAGGAGGACAAAAGAACCACTTGTGCAGATTGCTAGCGTAGAAGTCTGCACCAATCTCCTTCATGTCAACATCTGTACACCCAATAGCATGAGCTGCATCCACGAAAACTTGTTCAACATCTTCCTCTCTGCAAATCTTAATCAGTTCCTTCACTGGAATCACCACGCTGGGCATTGAAGTGACGTGATCGATCACGGCTAATCTAACCCTCTTACCATTGGCCTTTCCTCTCTAATGCCCTCCGAAATTAGCTTATAATCTCATGATCGGAACTCACCGGAAAAGGTAGGTCAACTTCAATGACTTCACCTCCAGAACGTACGACGTAGGCCTCTACCGACTTCTTGACAGCTCCATAAGCGTAATGAAGCATAATGGCGACATCCCCTTCTTGGAATTTGCCTTCGCGAAAAGCCCAAGCGACGTGCCGGAGAACAATAGCAGCGGCTGTGGTGGCGTTATCGACGATGGAAATCTCATCAAGGTGCTCGGCATTAACAAGCTCTTTTATTATGGTCCTGGATTGAAGAATCCCCTTCTGGAGGTGGTTGAAGTAGAAATCGTCGGGTTGACGCAGATATTTAAGATGCCATTCTTGTTGGGCAGAAATAACAGAAGCAGGGCAGCAACCAAAGGCGCCGTTGTTGAGGCGCGCAACGGCAGGGTCGTGGTGAGAGAACTCGGATTCAATCTCGGAGTCAGTGATGAAAGGTGAAGAAGAAGGAGAAGAGAGCTTGAGCTTTTTGGGCATGTGGGAAACGGCGGAGCCGTTGGTGTGATTGTGGTCTTCGTGGCAGTGAACGTGATTATCGTGGCCATCGGAGGCCATTAGAGTTTGAGGAAGAGGAAGACTTTCCGGATTTAAGGAGGACGTGGGCATATAAACAAGAGAGACTGCGGAAGAGCACAGCGTGGAGATGACTAAATTATAGCAGAAAGAGGCACAAGTTGGGATTGCCCTAAAAAATGAGCAGCATGATCGTAATGCTCCCATGGTGGATTGTTACCAGGGAGTTAGATAATAAAGGGTTATCTGTTTTAAACCAAAAATTAAAAAAAATAAAAAATCGGAAAGTCCTAGTCACTAAGCACGATAGGCTATTTTATTCTGCCACCGATTCTAATTATAAGATCTAGTTGATTAGTTTGAGAAGTTTAAGAAAAAAAAGTTAAGTTAGATATTTATAATAAATATGTATTGTCTTTTTTAAAATATCCTTACTAATTAAATGTGTTGGCTAGAAAAAGACTACTTTGGAAAGAAATATATAAATATAAAAGACAAAATAAATTGAGCATCTTATATTTAAAACCAAAATAAAAATCAAACAAAAATTTTATATTAAAAACTGAAAGCAGCAAATGAAATCTAAATATAAAATCTGCAACAACATTGAAATCGAAATTTATAGCTCCCATGAAGTCCCAGTTATCTGTCACACTCACTTTTGCACGAAGCTTAGGCGCCTAACCTGAGTTTCAGGTTCCGTCGACCGGCATTGAGCGTGATGGATTGGAGCTGCAATTACCGAGAGACTGGCCCCGCAGTCTTCTAAAATTCATGATGCGCAGCGCAATAGATTCCCGTTTCTGTGAGCATGAGTATTGACTGAATTTCATGATATATAATTTATAAACAATGTTTTGTTACAAATTTTTATACATTAAATCTATAATGATGTGTTGGAATTTAAATATTGTGTGCATTTTCTTCTACGAGAAAAATATGTATGTTAGTTATGTATTTTTTTAACCTTAACAAAATCAAGACAAGATGAATTACTTGTTACCTCAAGTTGAAGCGGAAACAATGTCCCATTCTTCCTCTCTGCACAATCCACACTCCTGGGGCCTGGCGATGATGCTGATGATGGTAATCCCTTGAACCAATTGTTGTGATTGGGAGATAAAGTCAAGCGCTTATATAGACACGCACACACAGTCTTCCACGGCCTAATTAATTAACTTTATTAGATTAAAAATATTATTTAAGTTAGTTAATATTATGTGTTTTTTTTTTCAAAACATCATAAGCATCTTTCTTGATTCTTTTTCATTATCCTACTTAATTATTGTGAAGAGAATATCAATAAGATTAATTTAAAAAAATTAATAAAAATGTGATATAGGTATTGTATGTATGACTAATATCAACTTTTTAATTAAGTTTTATATTAATAACAGGAAGAATATACAAGTATTATACACTGTGGATGATGTTCCTGATGCTTTTCAGCTTCATTCTCCACTTATTCCACCTTCATTTAATAAACCCGTCATTGCCATTCGGGGATTGGGCAGGCCGCGTGACCTCATGTTGCGCAATGTATATCCATTCTTTTTTCTTTTTTTTTTATGGTAGCTATCCATTCGTTAATTATTCACGATGCTGGGTGACGCTAACACATCCCACGTTTTTTCCCCTTAAAAAAAATGTGAGAACTGTTTTTTTTATCCTGTGCATAGATATAATCATATTAAAGATAATCATATTCAAAATATTATTAAATATTTTTTAACTCTTTTTTTTTTATCGTATTAATTTTAACTCTCGTTGGCAACGTGAAAATTCTTTTGTTGACTGGGAAGCATATGCTTATTATTGGGCCATGGCTGACCTCAACATTCATGTCTCGTCAAACATGCCCACACTAGCGCCGCGAGCATGCTGCATCCCACTCGGGATTATTAAGACGCTAATTTGTTTAAACTTCCTTTAATTTCTATTATATATTAACTGTGCTAAGTAAGGTTTATCATTTTTATAGGTACTAATTTAATTCAAATACAAAATAAATGTCTTCTGCATTCCCTGATCTGGGCGGCAATAATACGCGACAGTTCAAATCTATAATGTAAATAAAATAAGGGGAAATTGATATTGCATCCCCCTGATTCCGGAAGAAATTCAAGAATTAAAAAACATCATAATAACTCAGATTAATCAAAAGATCACAGCCGAGGCGAATGAAGAAAATTGCAACCCGAGGGGATTCGCGGGAAAGCAAAACGTAAATATATGAAATTGAGGGCTTCTTTAGTTAACAATATGAAACTAAATCCGTTCGTATAAATGCAAAAAAAAAAAAAATCGTTTAAAAAAAAAAACTTTCCCTTTATCTCTCAGTCATCACTGTCATTACACACAAACAAATCATCAATTTCAATAAAAATCCTCACTGTAATACGGTAGGGCTCCCAAAAAGCAGACAGTATATAACTACACACACACGCACATATGTATTGCGTCATCCTGAGCATTACTACTGCCATGGCGCGCGAAACTCCATGTTCAACGCCGCTCCAATGCCTAATCTTTCTGTTGATGGCGACGCCGCTCCTAGCCGCTGCCGTCGTCTTAATGGTCCTGTTCCTTCCTTACTCTCCAAACTTCCAAATCGTTGCTCTTCAGACCTCCCCAATCGTCCTCACGCCCTTTGTCTTTGACTGCACTCTCATGTCTGCCACGTGGAATCTTACTTTCGTCGCAAGAAACCCTAACAAAAGGCTAGAACTTCATTACAAGGACGTCGACGTCGCCGTTTACTACCAGTGGCTCAGCCTCTCTTCTCAAAAGCTAGGGTTTTTCAAGCAGAGCGAAGATAGTGAAGTTGTCGCGCAAGCTTCTGTTACTGCCTCCGCTGTCTTAAGTAACCAGAACGCGGCGGCAATGGAGAAGGAGGGACGGGAGGATCTCGCAGTTAATTTTATCGTCAAATTTAGAGGTACTGTTAGGGTATATGTTGGGACCTCCCTGGGTGTAGACCATGCACTTTCTATTGACTGTGACGGCATCAAGGTTGTTTTCTCACCCCAAAATGGCACGGGTAGGATGCTGGGCGCTACCAGAAGATGCCACAGCAATAAACTTATATTTTAGGCTTTAATCATTTTTTTTTTAACTTTTTGAAATCTTGTGCTCTAAATTTTTTTATTTAATTAGCGTGGGATTTCTTAGCTTGGTTGCGTATCAAATTGATAGTTTTCTTATTCCTGCAGTCTGTTTGCCTGAAACTGATTAATAATTTTTTTTTTTTGGCTTGGAATATTGGTTTCCCTGCTTCACAAGTAGGATAACGATGATGAGATTTGAGCTCCCACGCGCGCATGGCGTGTGTATGTGTTCCCTAAGAACCTTGTGGGGTAGTGGCATGTCGCTCACTTTCAGTTAATAAAATAAAAAATAAATTTACGTGATTTTGACCATCAAATATGATGCAATTATTATTTATTATAAATGACCCAATCAACATATTTCTGTCAGTACAAATTAATTCCCCCTATAATTACTCCATTAAAATTGGGAAACTAATTTGACCTGATCACCGAACTTATCATAATGATTATTTTGCATTCATTTTACAATCAAGAACAAAATAATTAAAAACCCGTTGCATCCTGATTTTTCATGTATAGCGAACAACGTCCTTCTCATCGATGTCGACCAATGATTCCAAATATGCCAATGGGGTACCCGCATGACTGCAGATCATACATTGTTAGTTCAACGTTGGAAGCCCAACGTCAAGCCACGCAATGTTGCCGAGCCAAAATGAATTATTGGGTTTACCCATTGAGAGTTACTCCTGTCGTCCTATTTCAGGACACAGAATTTTTTTTTTTTCAAATTCTATTTATAAGTCACTTTATTAAATTTTTATCATGAATATACTATATTGTCTTTTATTTATTATAGTGTAGATAGTTATTTTTTTAAAAAAAATATATATTAAATATGAATAAAGTTGAAAAATTGTTATATTTTAACGGAGAATTAATACAGTTCAAAGTTTCTTTTGATCTGTATGAAATATGTTGAGGGTGCCTGATAAATAGGACCTGAGGAGTACACAACAAAGTCAATTTTAAGACCCCAACGTTGAACTAACACATAACACTCAAGGCAGAACCAGCTAGACTATCATCTTTCACAAAGTTTGAGACAAAGAACGAGCAACTGGCATGCAATTTGACGAATTTGTTCCAATTTAAACAGTCCATGTAATCAAATTCACCTCACCTACACACGCATCTAAATTCATTCACGTAAACATACACCTGCACATCAGATGCACGCATGACACACCCACCCATGAATGTTTCCAAAGAAACCACTAGCAACGCCGTGTGTTTTACTTTCAAATCCTACCAAAATAACAGTATAAGACAGCAGCAAATCACTTAGGGGAAGGGGTATGAGCAATGTAATCCCGGCCTGCCCTACTTCTTCTTGTCATAAGCAGCTATATTCTGGGGCTCGCATTCAGGACTAAACAACCGAACCAGCAAAGCAGTGCTTGAACTAACAGTTACAGCTCCACAAGCTGCCCACCGAAGACTCCTAGGAATTGTAATTCGAGGACCTGCATGTCCAAGTCCAACGGATAAGAACACCCCCAGCCGACTTCAAAAAAACTGGAATTGTAAAGATAAGCTCAATCTTCTAGCTTTCCACACATATTGCAAAGTCAGGATGACTGGAGTTAAAGCCGAGAGCCAAGTGCTGGGGAAAGCACTGGACAGTGAACCAATAGCAAGCTAACTGTATTGCCGTATTTGAGCACTAGGAAACTTCACCACACCAGCATACATATAATGAAACAAAAGTGACAATTAAAAGGCTGCTACAGTCTCTAGGAATCTACCACCTGAGGCTAGGGGGCAGAAATACAAACATTGCAATCAATATAACGGTAAAACCATCATCAAGAGTACAAACATTTCGACGTCAATTAAGTCATAATCATTACGAAATAACTAAAATAACCAGTTAGGCAGCAAAGAGGTCCGTAATCTATACTTTCAAGGGGAAAAAATGCGAGAACATTAGGATTGGAATAAGGAACAGAAAACAACAAATGAGAAGTATAAATATACTTTAGAATATATCGCACATGGACCTTAAGAGGTACAGGTATCATTGAACAGAAGTTAAAATTTAGCAAAAAGATGTAACTTGGTTTTAATGAATTTGATGAAAAAACATGCACATAGAACACCAAAAGGCCGACCACAAATAGTAGAACAAACCGTAATGCAGACGGCAGAGAATCCAAAATGCTAATCCTCCCCCAACAGTAAAAATTCCAGCCGTCTGTCTCATGAGTCTAGAACAAGGTTTTGCATCAGACCTCATCAACTCCCCATCAGAAAAGCCAAAGAAACGCCTCAACGACATTATATCAATTGCCTGATACAATTCCAAATCGATTGTCAATATACCACACAATTACAGTCCCAGACTACGATAGATATAAACATTGCTTTAGCGTTTCCTGCATTTCGCGATATATCAAGACTTCTAGAGGAAAAGGAGACGCAGATGCAGAATCAAACAGAAGAATACCACAAAGTCAAGCTATTAATAATCACAGGAATACCTCAGTCGACTTGACAGACTGGTTCAAGTATTGATTTAAGAAAGAAAGAGGGAAAGAAAGAAAGAGGGAAATAGATACAGCATTTTCATTCATCTAGGTTTAAGATGTCCGCAAGACACAATACGCATTATTGTTTTCCACCTTCTTACATGGAATGGCACAGCCCCAATGCACAATGTATTTCTGCCAACATGTAGTGGTTTGCTTAAAATAGATTGGCTACTTGCACGGAAAAAAGTCCATGCTTGATAAGATCATATTTATTGAAGTAATCCCACCCGAGAAAAAAATTTCAAAAACAAAACGAAGATTGAGATTGAGGGTGTGTTTGGCATTTGAGAAAAATGCTTTTAAAATGCACTTCTCTACAAATCGAGATAAACTACTCCACGTATTCACTTCGTATACTGTAAAATCACTTACTTTTGAAATCATAATTTGGATTCTACCCAAACACTCATGAGTCCAACACTCATCTTTTTTAAGAGGTGTTCAGATGTAATCAAAACTACGGTTTTAAAAATGATTTTACAGTATACAAAATAAATAAAAAGAGAGGAGTGTATGTTGATTTGGGAAAAAGTGCACTTTTCTTGATCCCAAACACCCCTTTAGTAATAATACAGAAAAAGCAGTTTACAGCGAGTTTCATCTAGTTCATCATATGGCCCTCCTGCCGGCCCTAACCGGAATAGATATCGCAAACAGAACAGAAGACTGATATACGCTATGGTATTTTGTGGCATAGAGCAGCTGACTCTGAATCAGATAAAGAAAAAGCAAGAAACCCGTCTCCAAGGCATAAAATTGAGAACAATACATACCATTCATGCAATTAAAATAAAGCAACCCAGAAACAAGTTTTGATGAAGTTTCCCAAACTCCCCCCATTAAAAAGAAAGGGACGTGATCGGCAACAACTAGTGGGATAGGAAGCAAAGAGAAAACCCTAAAATAGACGCAAAAGCGATTAAATTATTTGAAGGAAGGCGATGTTCACCTGATTGTGTATCAGAAACGAGCGATGTTTGCAATCCGCAAGCTATGGGAGAGACAGCAAGTTTACCCTTCGATTGAGTAGTGTCACACTTAGAGGTATGTGATTCGAGAGACAGATGCAGGTGGAAGCAGTGGGAGTGGCCAGTGGGTGGCAATTGCAGTGCCGCCCCACGTTGAATGTGCCTCCGGGCACCGGTGATGGAGGGTACGTAGGCTGCTGATGTCGGAGATTGTGGGTCAGATGAGGAGGTGAAAAATGGGCCCAAAAATGGGTTCCAGAGGAAGGAGGTGGATTTGGGCCTGTTTGGAGGAAAAGGCTTGAAGAATTGGCTCCCAAACCTAGGAACGTGTCTGCTTCGTTTCCAGGGCCGCAGTTCCTAAACACCCAACGGGACCTTAAGCCATTCTTAAACTTTGTTTGGGGCCATTGAACAAGGAGCCCTATAATCCTGTTTTGTTCCCGGAGGGTTTTTCTTTTGACTTTTGTTTTGGGTCGATCATCACTTCATTGCTTGATCAAATAATGAAATGCTTTCAGCCCTTGACGCTGAGGAATGGGCGGCTTTTAAAGGACTCAAACTAGCTTGGGACATGGGATTTAGTAGTGTGATACTGGAATCAGATTCGAAGGTTTTGATTCAACTGATTGCAAACTGTGAGAACGGTACTAATCATAATCTGGTGGTCTTTCAGTTGTTACAGCTGCTGCATTTCCAATGGGAAGTACAAATCCTACATATTTCTAGGTATCAGAATCGGGTTGCTGATTCTTTGGCTAAAGGCGGGCTCTCATCCTCTGATTTCTTTCCTACTTACTTGCCCACTTCATCTTCGGGCTATGGTGGCTGACGAGAGTTTGGGAACACCCTCCCTCTCTTCTTAGTTTGTAATTTGGGCTCTGCCCTCTCTTATAACAAAAAAAAAAATGCTAAATCTTAAATTAGTATTGTTTTTTAGACGTGACAACCATTTTAAAAAAAATATTTTTATATAAGTTCAGATAAAACTTTTTTTATATACTTATATCGAACCTTATAAAATCACTTTTAAAATCATGATTTAGTTTTTATCTAACAAACTTTTAATAGGTCTTGACTATAATGGCAAGAAAAAAAGGTCATGACCACATGACTTGCCGATAACAACCAGGTTTTGTAGCTGAATGATTTTCAGTGTGCACTCAATATATTTTTACTTTTGATTTGATTTTTTTTGTGACCAAACGGAGCTCATAACTTTTGGTTGAATTAATGAAATTGATAGGAATTGTTTTATTATTTTTCACTTTTGTTTTGGTAGGTATTCAGAGTATTATTGGACGCTAAATATATTTTAGTATGAATTTTGTCTAAACACCTATCCTTACCTCACGACACTTGGAGCAGGCAGTGCCGGGTTTTGGGTTGTTGACTTTAGTCATCCGATATTCCTACTCCTGTCCTGTGTCTGTTTAAAGCAAAAATTTTCTATTTATTTATTTTAATACGAATATATTGAAATTAGACGTACAAGAACAAAAACATGAGATTCCTTACTTTCTTATAAAGCAATTCAGTTATTTTCCAAAAAGTACTTAATAGTCTTATACAACTCTGGTTGAAAATTACGAGTCAGAACTCGGAGGGATTTGTAATATTGGAAAAGGAGTAAATTATTTTTTCAAAAACAAAAACGAGGAAATCGCATGCGAAGGTTCCTGGTAATTTCACTGAAGACGTAAAATTAGTGAATTCCGTCCATTTCCGATTCTCCGTTAATTAGTTGGGCCTTGAGCTGATATTTAAATGCTACTCTGCGGACGGAAAAAGAGAGGTAGTCAGAAGGAAAAAATCCTATAAGCCTTTGTCAACCTCATAAATGCGATGCAACTGACCCCACCAGCCCACACTGGTGTCATGAGGGAACACGTATCCTCCTGCGATTCATATCCAGTGCAATAAAATAAAATTTTCAGCAGAGACTGAAAGTCTGGAACGACAACTGGTATATAATCCGGAGACTTCAACAAATATTTACATTTCATACGAAAAAAGGAGGAATCTTTTTAATTTCGTGGTTGGTCAATCTAGTTGCGAAGTGGAGAGGGAAGTATAATAAATAAAAAAGTGAAACGCGTCCTGGGTATCAGGGTCATAGCGCCCGCCTTTCTTCTCTGCTCAGTCGCGATTTCAGCTTCACAAGCAGGCAGCGTCTACAGTCACTACTTGCTATCTACCTTCTCAGGTTTGATTTTCTGTTCTTTTTAATTTATTTCTTTTTTTTAAAAAAAGAAGTTATCATCCTTACTTCTGGTCATGCGATGACCTGGCTGATCTTTCTCCTGTCTATCTCTTCCTTTCCGTCGGGATTACCTCTTTGTGTGTTCTGAATATTTTTGATTTTGTCATCTGGCTTTTCTATTCTTTCGTCTGCCTTTAGTTTTCGGTGTTTTACGCTAATATCTCGCCGAATGGTAGATAGAAGTAGAGTGAACTGATTCTGTTTCCACGACACAAGTCAATGAGTAACTAGGTAGATAGATTGGTAGAGTCGCTGGTTCTTCTGCATACTCTGTCATTATGGCTTAAAACTAGTGTAAAAAGGAAAATTAAAAATTCACAAGTTAACAAAAACTTGGGATGGAGGAGGCTGGCTGGAAGCAAATAGCGAGGATTGCCGCTGATTAAGAATCGACTTGGGATGAATCCTGGGCCTGTTTGGACAGCTTATAAGTAGCTTATAAGCTGCTTTTGAATACTAATTTACAGAATACGAGACAAATATGTGAGAGAAGTTTTGTTTCGGTTTCTGTGAAACGTTTTGAGGATATTTTCACTCCAAACGGGGCCCCTATTTTTTATTTTTGTTCACTATGAAAGTTGGCAAAAAAATTCGTGGATGAATATGTTAGCGTCTTCTTTCTGCTCCTCCTGTCAAACCTGAAGTGGGTGTGTTATAGAATCCTTGATTTTGGTGTTTTTATCGTATCTCATACCTATGCAGTTAGAAGACTGACTATATTCAAGCTCAGTTGGCCTCAAATGAAAAATATATGAAAGTTCACTCATGCCAAGTACATTTTTTAACTCACTTTCATCTCTGTTCCATTTTCATTTCCCTCAAAAACACTTTAAGAATACCAAACGCGGCCTCAGTGTCTTGTGTATCCTTTCCCATCTTTCCAATGGATTCATGGTTGTTTGCCTAATAAGGAAAAAAGGGGTACTCATCTCATCTTGCTCTTTCCTTTCTGACAGACTTCCCTAAATTATGGGGCGCAAACTTTTGTGGGTGGCTTTCTGTTTATGGGCTTTAACATGCTCTCTTCTTCCTTCTTTCTCTTCTGGACTTCTGAGAATTGGTTTGAAGAAGAGGCGTTTAGATCTCCAGAGCATCAAAGCTGCCAGAATTACAAGAGAACAGCTAAAACCAGGCAGACCAGTGAAGGGTGCACATAGGTATATTGGTAGTTCGGACGAGGATATAGTACCCCTGAAGGATTATTTAAATGCGCAATATTTTGGAGAGATTGGAATTGGTACGCCCCCACAAACCTTCACTGTCATATTTGATACGGGTAGTTCCAACCTGTGGGTTCCGTCATCAAAGTGCTATTTTTCTGTAAGTTCAGCTTAACCTCATGATCTCCAACACTACTATGTAAGAGTCGTTTCTTGACTAATATTTTCCTGCAGATTGCATGCTATTTCCATTCTCGGTACAAATCAAAGAAATCAAGTACATATAGCAAGAATGGTAAAGCCGACAGATTCATGGCCGTTTCTTATTATTCATGTTTATCATAGTGATAGCTTCAATCAGGCAAGCAGTAACTTCGTATGTTATATGCCTTCTAATTGAAGTTCCGATTTTGCCTATCATTTTGTCAATCAGGAACTTCATGTCAAATAACCTATGGATCTGGATCCATATCTGGCTTCTTCAGTCAAGATAACGTTAAAGTTGGTGATGTTGTTGTCAAGCATCAAGTGAGTACTTCTCAATTTGAGCTTCTATTTCAACATGAACTACAGTTTGTCCCCAGTCTGCGGCAATGCTTAATTTTATTACCACAATAATCTCTTATGCAGGATTTCATTGAGACAACCCGAGAAGGAAGTCTTACGTTTGTGTTAGCTAAGTTTGATGGAATACTTGGACTTGGGTTTCAGGAAATCTCTGTTGAAAAAGCTGTTCCAGTATGGTATTGTTTGGCCTATCCCTTTTTGTTTTTATTTGCATTTGATTTCCTTGTTCAAGTATGGTTTTCCCCTCCTTTCACCTCTTGTTTGCAGTGCACTTATTTACTGATCTGTTACAAAATTGCAGGTATAATATGGTGGATCAAGATCTTGTAAGTGATGAGGTATTCTCTTTTTGGCTAAATGGGGATCCAGATGCAGAAGAGGGTGGCGAATTAGTTTTTGGAGGTGTTGATCCAGATCACTTCGAGGGAAAACATACTTATGTGCCCGTTACTAAAAAGGGTTACTGGCAGGTTAGCAAGTGCATAAAATACTTTGATAAGGAAATTATTTTAGATAGTTAAGTCTAGTGCCAGTAAGTAACAAGAATGTTTTTCTTTCTTTCAGTTTGAAATGGGTGATTTTCTCATTGGAGGTCTGTCAACAGGTGATTTCATTATTCCTTAGCTGTCAAAAATTTCTTGGGGGAATTTACTGTGAAATCTGCCCCGGGGGGGGGGGGGACTCCATGATCTTACTATATCCTTATGAATTACAACTATCTTTTCACCAATCTAATTGTTAAATATATTGATATTATTCTTAGGTGTTTGTAAGGACGGCTGTGCTGCTGTAGTTGATTCCGGAACATCCTTGCTTGCTGGTCCCACTGTATGTGCTTCCATCCTTTTGAAAATTTAACATTTGTAGCTTTGATCTATAACTACTGCTAACTGCCTAATAATTTCAGTCTGTTGTGACTGAGATCAACCATGCCATTGGAGCTGAAGGAATTGTGAGTTCAGAATGCAAGGAAGTTGTATCTCAATATGGAGACTTGATATGGGAACTCTTAGTATCAGGAGTAGGTTCTCCGACCTTCCATTTCATAGTTTGTGTTTGGGCTTTCCATATTGTATTCTTGGACCTAAATATAAAGGACCATAATTTGCAGGTACGGCCTGATGAAGTATGCACGCAACTTGGTCTGTGTTCTGCATATGTGGAACAATCTAAGAGGTCAGTTCACTGTGTTTCACAAGTCATAATTGTTTATTCTCAGCTGCTAACACTGTCAACGAGTTTGGCTTAAATGGACTGCTGAAGTGATTTTTGATCCTAATGGCATGCAGTACTGGGATTGAGATGGTTACTGAAAAGGAACAGAGAGAAGGGTTATCAGCTAGAGAAGATGCTTTGTGTACATTTTGCGAGATGGCCGTGATTTGGATCCAGAATCAGTTAAAACGAAGAGTAACCAAGGAAAAAGTACTTAACTACATAAATCAGGTGGTCCTTTTGAACTAACCTTTCCAGAAATCAAACTTGCAGCATAATTTTTTATGGTGTGTTGATTATATCGGTTTTGGTAATTTCAGTTGTGTGAGAGACTGCCAAGTCCAGCCGGCGAGTCCACAATAAGCTGTGATAGTGTATCTCAACTGCCAAACATTACGCTTACAATTGGAGAAAAACTTTTCGACCTCACCCCACAGCAGGTTTGCTTTTGATATTCTAAAACTGAATCACTACTATGATATGATCCATACGTATATATGTTAGCTTGTTCAATTCTGAGGACACACTGGCTGTATCAAATTTCAGTATATTCTGAAAACGGGAGAAGGCCTGGCAGAAGTTTGCATTAGTGGGTTTATGGCATTTGATTTTCCTCCTCCACGGGGTCCCCTCTGGTATATTACCTTCTGATTATGTTCGTCAGTTTAGAATTACTTGTGTAATATTCAGAATTTTAAATATTTGGGCTCTTTCCCTTGAACAAAAAATAAACCACATGTGGATGCAGGATTGTGGGCGACATTTTCATGAGGGCATACCATACAGTGTTTGACTATGGCAATCTCCAACTAGGTTTTGCTAAAGCTGCCTGATACGAGTTGTGGAAGATTATGTTGGGAAAATCTTAAGAAGCTTGTGATTGTATTGTAAATAAACATGTGTGGCTATGTAGCATACCATGGCTTGGGTTTCCGTATGAAGGACATAGTCAGGATGAAGCATTGTAACTTGAAGATATCCTCATCGTAGAAGCAGTACTTGATATTGAATGGCCCTGTATTCATCAAAAGCACGTAGCAGTACTTGATATTACTGAGGCTTATGATGATTGTAACTTATGAAGAGTGTGTGAATAAACATACCCAGTCTGTTAATATGGCACGGGTGAACTAGAAAGGTTTGTTCCTCCTTAACCTGACGGGTTAAAGTTAAACCGACTTGGACTTGGTTTGCTTCTAAGACGGTAGGTCTGACGCCCTTTTGTAATAACAATAACAATAATAATTAAATAGTTCAGATCAAGGGAAGACTTGAGAACTTATGTATTATGCAAAATTTAGTGAGTATAAGAGTAGCATGGTTCATGGTGAATTTTAAACTTTTTTTTTATTAATATTGATATTCATGTTTCTATGATATTTTGGAGGATACCCTTGGGATCAAGTGCCCGATGCTAAAAGTAGTTATAAAAAAGCGGTCAGCGCAAAAAGCAAAAGGCGACAAAAAGCTAATTGGAAGAGTGAAATTCTTTTTCTTTTCGCTTCGAGCTAACGTGAAATTCAAGCAAGGCTGGCTCAAGCTCAACCAGAAATTTTAGATTTATTACGTTCTAAAGTTAATTAATCATGGACGTTAAAAATAGGTTTCTCATTCAACTTGATTCAAATATAATACTACTTTCAGTCTTTAATATAAAATTTTATTTGATTTTTATTTTAATTTTAAATATAAAATCGTAATTTATTTTGTCTTTTATATTTATCTATTTTTTTAAAGTAATCATTATAATAATAATTTTAACTAATATATTTAATTAGTAAGAATATTTTAAGAAAGACAACACCTATTTATTACAAATAATTAACTTAATTAGTTTTTTTAATCTACTCAAATTAATCAATAAACTCTTATATCAAGAATCTATTCATTTTTAGAGGATAATGACAGAATATTTATAATATTATTTTATATAACATTTATTAAAAAAAATTACCTTTTTTTCTTCTTATATTTATATTTATATTTATTTAGAATCTCACATAATTCGCTCAAAAATCCACGTCAAACAACCTCGATGACATCATTTACTTGCACCAGTTAGACAAAAGCTGCGTCCCTCCAGTTTGGCGTGTCGATATTTTATAAGTACTGAATCGGACAAATTATGTTTCTTCCTTTTTCCCCTTCCTTTGTAGATGTGGGGCCCTTTAATCGGCCTTCCTGCTTTTGTCAATAGGCACTGTAGTGTTCGTCCCGTAAGCTCCTCAGAGTCTCAACGTTCCTGCTTCAGCAGCAGCATCTGCAGTGTCTTCTACCTAAGAAAGGTTCTTTTTTGTTCCTAAATCTTTATCATCTTAATCATCTTATTATGACCATCACCCTTTATAATCTTCTCTTCCCTGCCTGAATTTCTGTTGACTTTGTATTTCTTGAAAATTTGGTTTGTTTCCCGTCCCTGTATAAACTTCTTCTTCTTCTTCTTCTAATCAACAAGGCAAGTTAAAACTTGAACAGATAACAACTAAGCATTAACACTAGAGCTTGCAGTTCCCTCCAATTTGTCCCGCTGTAATTGGATTCGTCTTTTCCTTCTTCTGGATGTAGCTATTTCGATGTTATGTATCTGGGATTCTAGTGTTTCTTATGCATATTAGAATCTGGTAATAGTGTTTGTTGCTTTCGAATTTATGATAAGAGTAGAATGAACTGCGTCACAGAAAGAAAAGAAAAAATAAAGTAGAATGGACTGACACTGTTTACAAAAACAGTTAATACGCTCCTAGTAATTTGAGGAAATTAGTATCCAGAGCTGCTGACTAAGAATTCCTCTAATTTATCTCTAACTAGTTCCTGCTAATTTCCATGTTAGTATAGCTTGGATCCTGTAGAATTCTTGATCACTATAAGGAATGACATGTTAGTGTATTCATTGCCTAAAACGGAATATCTGAATGGCGGCAGAGAATATTTCTTCCTCTCTTTGCACATCTATCCATCTCCCTGTTTGTGTTTTTTTTTTTTTGAGTGCGGGAAACAGTGTTTAGAGACTTTATTACTACACAGTTACCCCTTTCCCATGGTTGCTTGTCTTTTGATTTTGCTCATCGAAATTTCTGATTCTCCTTTATGGCAGGGGTTCCCTTCATTATGAGGTCCAAGCATCTGTGGACAGCTTTCTGTTTATGGGCTTTAACATGCTCACTTCTCCCTTCTTTTTCTTTTGGGATTCTAAGGATTGGTTTGAAGAAGAGACCTCTAGACCTTCAAAGAATTCGGGCTGCAAGAACTGCAAGGGAAGAACTGAGACTGGGAAGACCAGTGAAAGGTTCATATCAGTATATCAGTAATTCACATGATGAAGACATACTACCTCTTAAAAATTATATGGATGCGCAATATTTTGGAGAGATTGGAATAGGCACACCCCCACAAACCTTCACTGTCATATTTGATACTGGTAGTTCCAACCTGTGGGTTCCATCATCATGGTGCTATTTTTCAGTAAGTTTGTATCTCGCTCAATATCCATAACTACATCCATATGAGTCTCTTGTTAACCAATAATTTTCATGTGCAGATCGCCTGTTATGTCCATTCTTGGTACAAGGCTAGCAAATCCAGTACATACACAGAGAATGGTAACGTTACTGGATTCATGCCACTTTCTCATGATTGATTTTACTGATTATGCTAGATATAATTATGGAAGCAGTAAGTTGGCATTGTACATGGCATCTAATAAAAAGGTCGAAACCTTACATCATTCGTGTTAACTTGTCAATCAGGAACATCATGTGAAATACAATATGGGTCTGGATCATTATCTGGTTTTTTCAGTCAAGATGATGTTAAAGTTGGTGATGCGGGCGTAAAGCATCAAGTGAGTACTTTATTTATAAGTTTCCGCTTGAAAAAAAAAAAACTATATAGTTTTTTCTGTCCACAATCTGCAGTAGTACTTGGACTTGGGGTTTCATCAAGGCTCTCATGTTAACCTGTTAACATGTTGGATGTAGGATTTCATTGAGGCTACTCGAGAGAAAAGTCTTTCCTTTGCATTTGCAAAGTTTGATGGGATTCTTGGACTTGGGTTTCACGAAATCTCAGTTGAGAAAGCAGTGCCGGTTTGGTATAGTTTTTTGGGTTTTTCCTTTGCATCTGATTTTCTTGGCATTGTTAAAGCATGATTTTTCACTAGCGCCTTTGGGTTGTGTCCTGAAATTACTGATCCACTATCAAATCATAGGTACAATATGATGGATCAAGATCTTGTTAGTGAGAAGGTATTCTCTTTTTGGCTCAATGTGGATCCGGAGGCAGAAGAAGGTGGTGAGATTGTATTTGGAGGTGTTGATCCAAATCACTTCAAAGGAAAACATACTTATGTTCCAATTACTAGAAAAGGTTACTGGCAGGTAAGAAAATGCAAAGCTAGAGTTAGTTTGACCAGGAATTCGGGAAAACTCCAGAAAATTTGAACACCAATTTGTTGCCTTTTCAGATTGAAATAGGAGATTTTCTCATTGGAGGTCTTTCAACAGGTATAGGCATTGTTTTATTTTTCTACCCCAAGAAATTTTTTATTGGCCACAGAGAAATCTTGAAGGGATGAAATCATATGGTGCATAGGAAAGTATGAGATTTTTTTCCCCCTCCTAGACTAACTGAAGCAGAAAATTTGTGAAATCTGATTTGCTGGAAAACTCGTATTCCTTTATAACAATTTTTGTTTGTCACCTGCTTAATTACAATAACCATATATTATAATTCTTAAGGTGTGTGCGAAGGTGGATGTGCTGCTATTGTGGATTCAGGAACATCTTTGCTTGCTGGTCCAACGGTACGTGCTTTTGTTGTCCAAAAAATTTCCGCTTATAGGTTTTTTTCATCATTTTCGTTAACCGCTTATCAATTTCAGTCAGTTGTGGCTGAAATCAACCATGCCATTGGAGCTGAAGGAGTTGTGAGTTCTGAATGTAAGGCAGTAGTTTCTGAATATGGAGACAGGATATGGGATCTATTAGTATCAGGGGTAGGCCCTTCTTCCCTTCATATGGAGTTTGTGTTTGTGCGTTCTTCTAGCTGTGACATTCTGTTTCATGACTTCTCGGACCTAAATGCAGTTGATCTTAATTTACAGGTGGATCCTAGTGAAGTATGTTCACAACTTGGTTTATGCTCTGCATATAGGGACCAATCTGAGAGGTCAGGATTTTCTTATTAGCTTTATGTTTCACCGTCTTACTTTTTGCTTGCCTTGCTTCTTGTTTAAAATGTCAGAGTTATCCATTCCCCGTATAAGCGCATATAGAGGGAAAAGTAGTTTTCTGCAGAAGTATTTGTCAGGGAACCTCCATTATCAAACCAATAGAAACTGAGAGACTAGCTTCAGTAGCTTACTAAATCGTCTCTTAAAACAGACTTCTAAATTTACTCATTTTCCTAATACTATGCACTGCAGCAGTGGGATCAAAATGGTGACTGAAACAATGGAAAGAGGGGGTATGTCAGCTAGAGATGATAATATGTGCTCCCTGTGTCAGATGGCTGTCGTTTGGATTCAGAATCAACTAAAACGGAAGGTGACCAAGGAAAAAGTAATCCACTACATAAACCAGGTGAGCTTTTTAAACCAACCTTTCTAGAAGGCCAAATTGCATTATGGCTTTGGGCGGTCTAGTGACTGACTACTTTCTTTGGTCATTGACAGTTATGTGAAAGACTGCCAAGCCCCGGTGGGGAGTCCACTATAAGTTGTGATGGTATTTCTCAGATGCCAAACATCACAATTACTATCGGAGATAAACTTTTCAACCTCACACCAGAGCAGGTTTGTTTTGAACTTTGATAAATATATCTCTGTGTCAATATCTTTCTCAGATACCTTAGTGAGAATGCTTCGCTGTTTTCACAGTATATTCTGAAAACTGGAGAAGGAGATGCAGCAGTTTGCCTCAGTGGGTTTACAGCTTTTGATATTCCGCCTCCTCAGGGCCCTCTCTGGTACATTATGGCTATTGCATTCATAGTTCTAGTAATATTGTGTCATGGACATACAGTAATCAACAACCTTGCATGTATCGAACCCCACACACACACACAGACACTCGTTCCTTTCAGCTTTATGGTTAACCCACATGTTCCTTTCAGCCTTATGCTTGTTTTCTAAAGCAGCCGTACATGGATGCAGGATCCTTGGCGATGTTTTTATGAGGGTATATCACACGGTGTTCGACTATGGCAATCTCCAAGTGGGTTTTGCTGAAGCTGCCTAGAGGGGCTTATAAGGAGAATCATGTGCAGTCTACACAAACTTCCATGTGTTTTAATAAAAAGTTAATGGTATTACTGGTTTAGGGTCGGGAGAAGAAGCTGATATAATACTTTCTTGTGCATATGTCTATGTTACAGCATTCGGTCCGTAGGGTATGGTGGTGGGACGCATGCACGAACCATTAAAAATGTGATAAGTGTCAGTCAAAAAAATCAAAAGGCTGTTGTGAGTGCCACTGTTTAACATATCCTCCCGTTTAAGGCTGTTTGAAATGGGATGTATTAATCGACATTGATTGGTAGTAATGATAATCAAGGGGCTGTTTGGTAACCCTTAATAGAATTTAAAAAAAGTGCTTTTATTTAGGCTGATACAAAATTTCTCTAACTTATTTACATTGTAAGTTGTAAAATTATTTTTAAAAAGTTAATATTATAAAGGATCAATGAACTTATTTGAACCTTGATCTTTTATATTCACTAATCATAATAATGTTAAATAAAATTAATTTCTAAATCATATTTTATGTGATAAATGTAGAAATCTTAATTATTTTTAATATTAAAGATGTTTAATTTTTAAGAATGTATTATTAAATTCTAATAATATCTTATTTTTTAAATTTTGGATCATTATACGTCGTTCGCGTCCGGAAATCCATGCATGTCCTTCATTTCTGATATAATGCAAACTTTGACCGGAAGGACCCTTGTATGTATCAAAAGGCACGTACCATTGATAAATAATACTGAGGTTTGTGATGTTTGTTATTCAGGAAGAGCTTATAAACAAACGGTATTACTGGGTTTAAAATTCATCTCTTCGTATTTGCTAAAGCATATGAGCAATAAGATTTGCCATAATTCTCTTCACTGATATTGATTTTTCTCTTAACATTTTATGAGCAATCCTATGGATGAATTGGTCATTACTAAAATATTCTTGTTAATCATGTATCTTAACTAGAATTACTATTTGATAAAACATTTAATATGTGCAACTTCTCTTCCGATTCTAAATATAAGACCCTTATACACGCTAGTATAAAGGTTTTATATTTAGGACCAGAGGAGTATTATAAGGACTATCTTAAAAAAAATAGATAAATATGAGAGACAAAGTGAATTAAGATATTATATTTAAGACCAAATTAAATATCAAAATTAATTCTTATATATTAAGGGCCAGAGGTAATAATTTGGAGGGCCAACTTGAGATTCAAAGAAAGGTTGCGTGAGAGTCTTAAAGACTAGACTCGGTTGAATTTAAAAACGGTCAAGACACTGCGGTAAAAATTAATGGTTAGATTTGGTCTTAGTTGATAATTTTCAATATATTCCCCATCGATTTGGCCGTCGGTGTTTTTTTTTTTTTCCTTTTAAATATAATATCCTTTTCCTGTGTGATGACATAATCTATGTAACACTATAATACTATACTACTAGAATTTATAAGAAAACATTGACGTTGTAATTTTTTTATGTTTATAATAATAATCTGAAATAACTTGTTCAAAAATCCATGTCAAACAACACCGTCAATGACATCATTTACATGGCGAAGTTAGAATAAGCCGTGTGCCTCGAGATATTTTGTAAGTCCTCACAGTATACTATACTAAATTTGACCAATCATGTTTCTTCCTTTCTTTTACTTTATAAACTCACTGCTTTTGTGGCTACATATTGTAATGTCTAGGAAATAACAGTTAGGTCCTAAAATATCAATTCAATGGTAGCCAGTTTTTTTTTTTTTGGAAAAAAATTGTTGCAAATATTCATTACAGTTGTAACCATATAAATTTTAGTTACAAAACACAGAAAATGGTTGCATTCTCGTATTTATATTTGTTTGATTTCTAACTAACATTCTTATATTTGTAATTGTCTAAATGTATATATGTAATTTATTTTTGATAAAAAATTTTAAGGTCTAACTACTATCAAAATAATCTTTTAGGAGCATACATCATTCTTTCATAGTATTTGTTTGAATGAGCTCCTCTGCATCAACCATCTCAGCAGCCAAGCAGCATCCACAGTAACATCTGCCTAAGAAAGGTTCTTTTCTTTTTATTTTCCTAAATCTTTATCATCTTTGTCATATGATTATGATCATCATAATGACTTCAACCAAGTTTATATTTTCTCCTTTAATCTTACCTGCCTAATTTTCTGTTGATCTTGTTTGTCTTGAAAATTTGGTTTGTTTCACGTTCCCGTATAAACTAGTTCCATGTTAGTTTTGATTACAGCAGGAGTGTAGTGTGAGGAGAGTTCTAGATAAACTACAAGAAATGACTTCGGATCAATCCTACACCCCCTAATTCATGGTTGCTTGTCTTTTGATTTTTGCTCATCGACCTTTCTGGTTCTCCTTTCTGGCAGGGTTCTCTTCATTATGAGGTCCAATCATCTGAAGATAGCTTTCCTTTTATGGGCTTTAACATGTTCATTTCTTCCTTCTTTCTCTTTTGGGATTCTAAGAATTGGTTTGAAGAAGAGACCTCTCGACCTTCAAGGCATTCGGGCTGCCAGAGCTGCCAGGGAAGAACTGAGACCAGGAAGATCAGTGAAGGTTTCACATCAATATATCAGTAATTCACATGATGAAGACATAGTACCCCTAAAAAATTATTTGGATACGCAATATTATGGAGAAATTGCAATAGGCACACCACCCCAGATCTTCACTGTCATATTTGATACTGGTAGTTCTAACCTGTGGGTTCCATCATCATGGTGCTATTTATCAGTGAGTTCATCTCCCCCTTGATATTCGTAACCATATCCATATGAGCCTTCCATTAACCAATAATTTTCATGTGCAGATCGCCTGTTATGTCCATTCGTGGTACACGGCTAGCAAATCCACTACATATACTGGGAATGGTAACGTTAATGTATTCGTGCCAGATTCTCATAATTGGTGTTACTGATTATGCCAGATGTAATTATGGAAGTATTCATGTTAACTTATCAATCAGGAACATCTTGTGAAATACAATATGGGTCTGGATCAGTATCTGGTTTTTTCAGTCAAGACAGCGTTAAAGTGGGTGACGTGGCAGTAAAGCATCAAGTGAGCATTTTGTTTATGAGTTTCCACTTGGAAAAAGACTACTTTTTTTGTTTTGGCCACAATCTTCTGCAATACTTCGACTTGGGTTTCACCAAGGCTCTTATGTTGGCCTGTTTAATGCAGGATTTCATCGAGGTTACTCAAGAGAAAACTCTTTACTTCGCATTCCTTGAGTTTGATGGGATACTTGGTCTTGGGTTTCAGGAAATCTCAGTTGAGAAAGCAGTGCCAGTTTGGTATACTTCAACTTGTCTTTTGGTTTTTCGTTTGCATCTGATTTTCTCGGTATTGCTAAAGCATTAATTTTCTTAGTAGTAGCTTTGGGTTCTTTTGTCCTGTAACTTCTGATCCAATGTCAAATCACAGGTACAATATGGTGGAGCAAGATCTTATTAGTGAGAAGGTGTTCTCTTTTTGGCTCAATGCGGATCCGGATGAAGAAGCGGGTGGTGAAATTGTATTTGGAGGCATTGATCCAAATCACTTCAAAGGAAAACATACTTATGTTCCAGTTACTAGAAAAGGTTACTGGCTGGTAAGCAAATGCAAAACTAGAGTAGTTTGACCACGAATTCCGTTTAAATGATAAATTTGAACACGAATTTGTTGCCATTTCAGATTGAAATAGGAGATTTTCTCATCGGAGGTCTTTCTACTGGTAAAGGGAATATTTTAGTTTTCAACTATAAGAATCTTTTGTGTGGGGGATTTTACAGAGACATCTTAAAGGGCTGAAATCATATGGTTGTATATTATAATTCTTAAGGTGTGTGCGAGGGTGGATGTGCTGCTATTGTGGATTCAGGGTCATCTTTGCTTGTTGGTCCAACCGTATGTGCCTGCTTCTATCTCCCTGAAAGTTTTCTGCTTACAGCTTTTCTTTTAAAATTTTTGTTGACGGCTTATCAATATCAGTCAGTTGTGGCCGAAATCAACCACGCCATTGGAGCTGAAGGATTTTTCAGTTCAGAATGTAAGGAATTAACTTATCGATTTGCAGACAAGATATGGGATCTACTAGTGTCAGGGGTAGGCCCATCCACCTTTCATGTCAACTTTAGTCTGCGCGTTCTTCTAGCTGTGACATTCGGTTTCATCCTCTGCTTCTCGGACCTAAATGCAGTTACTCTTAACCTGACAGGTGGAGCCTCATGAAGTATGTTCGCATCTTGGTTTATGCTCTGCATATAAGGATCAATCTAAGAGGTTAGGAAGTTAATGTTTTTCTTATGAGCTAATATATTACGCGGTCTTTACTTTTTGCTTTCCAAGCTACTTGTGTGAACTTCAAAGCGATCCAGTATTAGAAAGAGAGACGTAATTTTCTGCAGAAGACATTGTCGTGGAATCTCCATTGCCAAATCAATAGAAATAGAGACCCTGGCTTAGTTGCTTACTCTGCAATCAAATTGTCTCTTAAACGGATTTGTCAATTTACTAATGTTCCTAATACTGTGCACTGTAGCAGTGGGATTGAGATGGTGACTGGAAGAATAGAAAGAGAGGGTGTGTCAGCTAGAGACAATAATACATGCTCTTTCTGTGAGATGGCTGTAGTTTGGATCCAGAATCAACTGAAAAGGAAAGCAACCAAGGAAAAAGTAATCCGCTACATAAATCAGGTTATCTTTTAAAATCAACAGTTCTAGAAGCACAAGCTGCGTTATAGCTTTTGACGGTGCAGTGACTGAGTACTGCCTTTGGTGATTGACAGTTATGTGAAAGACTGCCAAGTCCTGCTGGAGAATCCATAGTAAGTTGTGACAGTATTTCTCAGATGCCAAACATCACAATTACCATCGGAGACAGACTTTTCAACCTCACTCCAGAGCAGGTTTGTTTTGAACTTTGATAAATTTGTGTTTGTGTCAGTATCTTTCTCAGATTCCCTAGTGAGAATGCTTTGCTATTTTGACAGTATATTCTGAAAGCTGGACAAGGCCAAGCAGCAATTTGCATCAGTGGGTTTGCAGCTTTAGATATCCGCACTTCTCAGGGCCCTCTCTGGCATGTTACCTTCATATTTATATTATGGCTATTGCACTTAAAAGTTCTAAACTTTTAATATGCTTATGACACACACACACACACACAAAAAATACGGAACAACCTTGCATGTAATGAAGTATTTACTCTTTTTTCTGAAGCAACCGAGTGTGCGTATGTGAATGCAGGGTCCTTGGCGATGTTTTTATGAGGGCATATCATACGGTGTTTGACTATGGGAATCTCCAAGTGGGTTTTGCTGAGGCTGCCTAGAGGGATTTTTGGAGAATCTTATGCAGCCAAGAGCCGCAGACAAAACTGGAAACTCCCTCGAGTTTGAATTAAATAAAATAATGTTATTACTGATTAGTAGTAGAAATGTCAGAATCTTGTATATCTATTACAACATTTGAATTGTGACAAGAATCAGTCCACAAATAAAGAGCCGACATAAATCTCACTATCTACCATACACTCCCTGACGTTTAATGCGTTTAACAAGTTCAGCACTTTATCCGTGAAGGGTGATATTAATCGATATAAATTGATGGTGATCTGTTTTTCTTCAGGTACATGAATATTGCATCATATTAATGGGACAATGTTAAGAAAAATCGATGAATCAATATAAATTAATTGAAACTATTCACTTTTTAAGGTTTATAAAAAAAAAAAGGCAAAAATATAATTTTACTTATTTAACTATGATTTCGGTTTGATTTCTCAATTTTAAAAAGTATATTTTTAATTTTTTAAACCTTGAAAAATTTAAAAAAAGATAAAACTGAAATTGTAAATATTAATAAAATATTTTTAAATACTATCATATTAAGTATAATTTTCAAAAATCAAAACAACCGTAATTATTTAAAAAATTATTATTTAAACCTAATAATTTTAGAATTAAATGACCAAAAACATACCATTTGAAGGTAAAAAGATACACATTCTTCTAATCTTCTAAATGTATAAAAAATATACAACTTCGATATTTTTTTCTCTACTGCTTTGACCAAAAAGTAGAAAAATACCTTAAAAGGTAAGTAGAGGGGAATCGAAATTCTGACAGCGCGGTGTTTCCGTACTGCGGAATATAAATTGAGATCAGAAAGGGGGCTAACAACATGACGGCCAAAGTTGCCCTAATCGGAAGCAGAAATAATTGTCCCCATCAGATTATGTAATCCCAAGTTCACATCGTCTCCAAACCAAACTTCGAATCCCAAGATAAAAAATTACACAGGCTGATAACGGTTCAAACTCGATTGGGAGTCACATAAACACACACCAACTCGCGACTAATGATACAATGCTGAATAACAGATGCACGAAAATCTTCCATTATTCTTCTTCAGCGTCGGCACTGAATATAGAAGACATGGCAACTTTTTGCTTCTTTGCAGCACCACCGAATGTGTTCTGCAACAAATGAGGAAGAAAATATTAACGTGAGCAAAGCTATATAAGGCAAAAATCACGGACTAGATAACAACGCAATGATGGCATCAAATGAAAGACGTCAGGACCGAAGTCAGTTTCATGAATTTCTACGACAGGACAGAAATCAACCATGAAAGAAACCATGCCATAGAAATCATCCAGATCCAGATACAAAATTACAGTACATGTGATATTATATTATAATAAATAAATGAAGTTAGTCATGGTTAGTTGGGTTAATTAGTAAAGATGACCATAAGGGACGCTGGCCTATAAATAACTGAAGTGATGGGTGTGGAAAATCAGCTCACTTGAATACCTAATTGAGCATCATATACTACTCAATGTAAGACTTAATAATTCATACTGTCTCCATGATTTGGCCCCTTTCATCCCACTAGATGCCCTCCATGGTACTCCACTGAGGCCCTCTGTAGAATAGCCAACAACCTAACTCTAATAATACCAATTGAGTACCTAAGTAATATGAGAACCCTGGCCTAAAAGCTAGCTGTTAAAACGGGAAAACCACCCTGCCTAAATACCCCTATTGGGTACTTCACACTACTCCATATGAGACTTAATTAGTATACCTTCTGTCTCTCTATCTCTGTTTCTGTTCTCCTTCTCTACCATTCTCTCTCTAAGTCTCTTCCTTTCTCTCTCTTTCCCTCTCCCTCTCGTCAAGATTACAAGCACATATTAATATATTTGTCCAATTCTAGCATACCTTAGAAGCACCTCCCTTGGATGAAAACCCAAACTTCAAAGTCCTCCGCTGATCCTGATCTGCAAGTGCAGTAGCAGTTCTAGATTCAGAGGAAGCCGGAGCAGATCCAGATTCTTCCTGTTGTTGTTGTAGCTGTTGCTGCTTACGAGCATCAGCCCTGGTTGACATTAAAGAATCCCAATAAACAAGATGACATCAAAACAAGGCGGCCAACTACCCACAACAGCCAAAACGCAATAAGGCAAATATATTTTTCAATGTAACACCCAAAAAGATTAGAGGTGCATAAGCAGAAGGATACATTTGGGCAAATTTAGCCATTTCCCTCTCTTGACGCTGCTGTTCTCTTTTTTGCCTATCATCTCGGCTGCTACCACCATGCATGTCCTTCATTTCTTTGAAACGCTGTAATCCCCATTAAGGATGTTGCATTAGAATGATGAAGAATATCCTTGATGTAAAGTTAACAAAAGCTGAACCAAGTTAGTCAAATCATCTACCTTTCTGTGATTGTGATCGTATGAGCTCAAATGTGCTTCAAATTCCATGGCCAATTTGTATTGCTTGTTGCAGAGGTCACAAAAGAACACCTTTCGGATTTCTTTCACTTCAGTTTGAATTTTTTGCTCACGTTCCGCCAAAACCTGGATTTTCATAATGCGCACGACACAGGCAGAAGAAGCCACCAGGTAATAAAAACTGCAGGAAATTCTCAAGATCTTCCAAAGTTGATGGTTCCCTAAGACACACCAATCCCATCAAAAGACATGCATATGTGGTATATGCTGCCTTCTGCTATTAGGTGGAGGTTCCAGAAAACGGAAAACATCAACCTCAATACTACTTTATGATTTTAACACTAAAGGCAACTGCTAATAATTCCTCAATCATACCTCTCGCTTCCTCATAGTTTCCTCTGTATCCTCCAACTCTACATCAAGTTTCTTTCGCTGGATGTTTTCTTCAGCAGTGAAAAAATCATCTTCTTCTTGTTTACCCACGCCCAATCTGGGATCTCTGATACCAGATTTTATTGGCTCAGTAATTCCTGCACATAAATTCAGAGGCATAAAATGAACTCGGTTAAAGAAATTGAAATCAGGGAGAACATTTAAACTATATCACTTTCATACTTCAGTAAAAATCTTCCACATTTAAGAACACAGAAAATTGTAGTGCAGGAAAGAAAGGAAGAATTATTTTGGAGAAGGTTCAATTAAAGCATAACCAAAAACAAAGGTTCAATCCTAAAAAGATCAAGCCCAGAGACAGGCAATTTGATATTTAGGGCTTCAAGAGAGGCAGCAGCCTATACTTTATAAACATGTAGAATAGGGGTAAACTCTAGTTTTTCTTGCATAAGTCCTGATGGCCCATGCCTTGCCACGCTAGAACTTCACTGGTTTTCCAGTTCCACACAGTGAGAGTGCTAAAATTACATAATACAAACAATTTCAGCCACATCGAAACAACTTCATTAGGTTCTTTTTACATTTTAATGATGTAAACGGTTATATGCCACATATTAAAAGGTCGAGCGGGTTTATTTAAAAAACTGAAAGAACCGGAGGATCCACCCCCCCCCCCCAAAACAAAAACAAAAAAAGGTCAGATTTAAAAGGGGTTACAAGCAACCAACAACGTTAACAAATACTAAGTGGAAGCTCAAGATGATTCCATCTGTCCAGATAGAAGTTTGAGTTACACTAACAATAAGATTGCCTACGTTCTAATACAACTACAAACCTTGCTCATTCTTCCCCAGACCCTTTCCTTTCCACCCCATCTTTTGAAGTAGCTTAAATCCAATATTAGACGATGTTAACTGTGTGTCCAGAGAAGCTTGTTCGACATTGTCTAGATCAACATTTTCTGTTGGCCTGTGATTGATAGGCAATCGAAAATCCTCTGCCCAATCTTCAATAAAGGATTCCTGGGATGCCTACCAAATATAACTCAGCATGCACGATCAATTGTTAGAAGAAGCAATACTAATTATTTCTTTAATGGCTTTAACTAGTAAATAAGAGGAAAGGCACATAAGTCATGCACCATAGTCTTATCAATTACCTTCCCCTTTCTGATCTGCCTCCTATCAAGAGTACCAGTATCCTGCCAACCATTGGTCCTTGGATAATCCATTTGAACCTATACAGATCATAAGAAGCAAACACGTGACCAAAAGCCTTAGAATAGCAGAGCTTAGACAGATGAACGCCTCAACCATACAGAGCAAGTAGAAATACAGCAGGAAAAGCAATCGCTTCACACAAAGGGATAACTTTATAGTCGACAAATACATGTTAAGGGGTGGGTTCAATTTATACACTTCCCGCGCTACCTAAATAAAACCATGACAAAAATTGATAATACGGGATTTAATACTGCGGGCTTTTTCGTTTCTACTTTTCTGGTTAAATACAGTAGACTGTGTTAGAGCCAGCACGCCAAGCAGCTAAAGCGATCTAAAAACCCATAATCCTCCATGGTGCAAGAGGCTCTTGAAACATCTGAAAACTTCAATGACGAGATATGCACCAATCAACTTAGGTCGAAAGGAGAAAACTTCCAATTCTCCGAAGATAAACCAGGAAATTGAGAGGCAGCAACGCACTAGATGTGATTCCAAAAACCCTACCTAGCTTTGACGACCCTACTGTTAGCAACGCCAAGAGTGAAATAGAATTGGATATTATAAGAGAATGAACTGGTAAGAGTTCTGGCAAAACAACGCTGTCCGGACGTCGTAACCCCGCCTACTCTTCGGGCAGGTATATGGAAGCTATGGTTTCTTTGGTTTCGGAGAAAGGGGTTCGGGTCCAACGGAGTCGGTGATCGGCGGATGGGGACGGATCCTGATTTCCTTTTAACGACTGGAATGAAACTTGAGATGCACTTGACTTTACCAAAAAAACATTAAAAAAAAAATGGTATGTAATAATTCCTGGGCAGTCCAAAATTTAGATAGGAAGGGCCCATTGCAACAGGGCTGGCCCATTCCCCGAGAAGACGCCCCAAGTTCCTTTTTTTCTCAGGAATTTTTTATTCCCCGTCATCTAGTCTATTAGATTAGCTATGGGCCAGTACCCAAAAAACAAAAGGATCAGTCATGGGCCTGTGGCCTGAGCGGATCATTTTAGATGTCTTCGATTCTTAAAATTCAAGCGCCTTAAAGAGGCGGAATACAACTTCAGAGATAACGGCTAAAGAGGTTGTAAGTGAAAAATAATTGTTAAATGTATGAATCGCAATACAATGATAACAGTCGTGGCCCAAAAAAAAAAATACATAAAATGATTATAACCTGAGAATTGGAGAAGATTATCACGTATTAACCTCTACAGTCCAATTTGTATGGTTGAAAAGGGCGGGATATGCTTGTGTGGGTAAAGATATACTCCTCTGTTCCTTAATATATGACTTGTTTAATTAGTTTGATTACATTAAGTAAATTAAATAAATTAGTTAATTATTAAAAATATATCTATGACCAATATTAACTTAACAATCAGGACCTATGTTAAATTTCGGAGGAGTATTAATTAATGTACAAATCATCGATTAGCCTGTAATTTTGTTTTGCCAGAAACTCTAGAGTGTAATTAACTAATCTGCAAAAATTAAAACTATTAAGATTGATTATTTATTATTACTGCGTAAAAAGATGTGTCCTTTTTTTCCCAAAGTACCACTCTTTTAATCAGGGTATTAATGGTAGGAAATAAAGAGAGTGATGAAAACAGTAAAATTAAATTAACGAGGATAAAATGGGAAAAAAAAACTACATGATGGGCATGGAGAATATTGGGTCTTATAATTTATAATTTACTATGAAAATGAATTTCTGATTCTCAGCTAATTTTTATATAAAAAAAAACGTAAGGAAGCAATTCATTCGCACCGGCTAACAATGACAACAATGAAACTCAAATTATTTTTTTTAAGAAAATGGCCATTCACTGCTTAACAAGCCTTGTAAGTCTTAACATTGCATTGTTGAAACTTGTTAACTCAATTAAATAGATTATCCGCTTGAGCTTAGTTATAAATACGTCTTTCTTTTTGCGATTCGAATATTTTTGAAGTTTTCTTCTTTACTCCAGAGAATATTTTCAAAGGTTAGCTCCAAGATCCTTAAAATTTTGAAACACAAGATATAGAAGAAAAGGAAAGAGAATATATTACCGTCTTGTAAACCACCCTTAGATATAGAAGAAAGGGAAAGAGAATATAGTACCACCCTTAGATATAGAAGAAAAGGAAAGAGAATATAGTACTGTTTTGAAAACCACCTTTGTCCACACCTATCTATCCTCTCCAGTTTCTTTGCTGGCTGGTAAGTGGTAACTTATTTATTTTTCTTGTTTGCTTCCTAATACATGAATACATACGGGACAATTTCGTGTAGCCATTGATGCTATTTTAGGATACAAATACGTATTGAGCAATACTACCTCCATTCTTTATTATAAGAGCTTATTTGACTTTTAATTTGATTCTAAATATAAGACCCTAATCCATGTTATCTTTCATATTTATTTATTTTTTTCAAAGTATTCCTTAAAATAGCTGCACATATGAAAGGTTTCATGAAATGGTAACTCTAGGTAATATACATGATTAACAAGAGTGTTTTAGGAACGATAATACTTATTTATAAGAAACAACTAACTTAACTGATTTTCTTAATCTCCCCAAATTAGCCAACTAGGTATTATAATAAGGACCAGAGGTAGTATTCGATTTGAGGAATAAATACAAAACATAATGAATTATACAAACCTTTTTATTAACTTCGCCAATATTTTTTAAGCTCGTTTAATTTTTTTGAAATAAAAGCTCTAAACAATTAGATTCTGGGGTTGTGTAATAATTGCTCTAACGGTACAACGGTGTCAATGATTCAAATTTTCATCCCACTGCACAGCTGTAGGAAATTCCCGCGCCTGTTTTCTTTTTCCCAAAACCGGGGAGGCAGAGAAAATTCGGAGCAGGAAAAATGACAAAGTTTCCATTAATCGTATGTGCTACTCGACGGTGGAAGGCTAAAGAGTCGAGAATATGGATGCAGATATATCAGAAAGACGTGACCATCTTGGAAAAGGAGGCGGACTCTACCTCAGTTGCGAGGCAAATTAAATTGCTTCCATAGGATCCTGCGAGCATTATTGGCTTCTACATAATTGAACATCATATCGAAACATGACAGCTACTTGTTTCTTTGTTTTATGCAGAATCATTGACCAACCGACGACCACTTTTTGCAGAACCATTTCGACATTGTTCTAGAAGACCAGACCTTGCAGCAAAAGCGTGGGGTTTAAGTAATCAGCATAAAAATGGGCAGTATGAATAAATGTATTCTTCTGTTGAACTAATGCAGCCTTTAAAAAGATTAAATTTCATTAAATATGCGATTACAGCAGGGAAATATTGTTGCAGGGGTCTTAAAATATCAGAGCTTAATGCAGAGAAGGAAGGAATAATGAAGATATATAGGGATCCGTGTATAAGAGAACAATAATAGAGTATTAACTAAGTTGGGTATGCCAAACTATGGCCCCTGATATATATAATTGTTTACACCTTACGGATTAACATTATTTAAATTAATTCCGAGACGTTTATTAGATTCCCGAAAGCTTGACCGCAACCACAGCAACAGCCTTGTCATATGTTAACTTGTAATTGATCCTTCGTGATCTTCTTCGTACGCGAACAACCAGAAAGTGGTGCTTCAAACCTTTTGTCTCGCAGCTGGTAGGTAGGAACCTGTCAGTGATCATCCGGACCTTCTACGGCTACCTTACAAGAAAAGAAGGAATATATATCAACTTTAGTTCTGCTTTGAATATCTCAAAAACTCCCAAAATTTTCCTTCTTTTGATATGCACGAACCAAATCAATAAAGTTACTTGTTCCCACGGAAAGATATATATGTGTGTGTATATATATATATAATATGCACAGTGTGTGGATTTTTACGGTTTGATAATAACGCGATAAGTGTGAAATGCGTCTACATGTTAATATTACCATGTCATAGGGTAAGCACTGTAGCAAATTAACGTATGAGGAAATTCACCAAATTCTCATACATTAACTCTTTAAAATTCTAAACTTTGCAGAGTTGGGTGAATAATGGCAGAGTGAACATGCAAAAGGGGCGGTGCTTTGGTAAAAGAGGTAAGAATTCAAACAGTTGGCGAATGAGAGAGAAGGGAGAAGGAAGGAGAAGAATGATTGGCCCAGTTGGCGAAAGACAGCTAATCAGGCACGCAACGCAGATCTCCGTGTATAGTACAATAATACTTAATCAAAGCTATAAAGATCCTGTAAAATGTAGTTATAAAGAGGAAAAGAAGAAAGAAAAAGTAAAGCCTATTCCAACAGAACTCCAAGGGCTAATGAAAAACCAATGGAGTATAGCTAAAGTAGCTTGTTCTTGTCGTTGTCCAAAGGTATATGCGGTCTTGTCCACAGGAGCAGTTCAACATTGCGCGGTCCATGAATATTGGCCTGGTCTTACCAAATCACTTGAATCAGATTCTGCCATGGCCGCTCTCTCAAGGGCAGGGCCCATTCGTTCTGCTATAAATTTCAGCCTCGAGTTCTGCAAATTCCAGCCATCCAAGCCAAGACAGTTCCTAAGTGTCCGTTAATCAGTCACCCACCCAACAACCACACCACCACCACCACCACCATCCAGGACAAGAAACATCATGGCAGGCAACAACGGGCAGAGGAACAAGTCATCATCCTCCTTCATGTCTATCTTCAACATTTTCAGGTCCAGCAGCAGCAACAGGAAAGACGAGTACTACTACAGCGACGATCGGTGGACGAAGGTGTGGCCTAGCGACGAGGACAGAGGACAGTGGGGGCCAGCTGAGCCAGGCATTGACAAGAAAGCTGATGATTTCATCAAACGATACAGGCAGAGGGTCACTGAGTCTGAAGTTCATCAGATGCAAGCTCCAGTCAAGTAGCTTCTGCTATAGTTAGTATAGGATCCTTCTGTTAGGCCATTAATTATTCAGGACTATTGTTGTTCGTTCATGCTCCCTATTAATGTCATTTAAGTGTTGATTATATGACAATAAATCGACGCCAGCAGTAATATTGTAGAACTTGATCAGTGGCACTAAGAATAAAATGTGTGTATAATGTATATGTGGGTGTTGATTTTGCACTCTCTTTCTTCTTTCTTTTTTATATGCTCAAAACGATGTCAGCAATAAAACTGCATAGTTTCTTTCCGTGGAATGGATTCGAAAATGAATTTGCCTGATCTATTGTAAGTTTCTGCACCTCGCGCGGTTTTTATTCCGAATGGCTTGCCTTCCGTTCCTTTTTTCTTAATATGCATGTATTTTTTTTTTTTCAATTATCAGTAGTTCATTATTTTCATTCATCTATATATTTATATAGGTTGTTTGTCATGTGCAAGTTGCTAGCTGTGCATGCATGTGTTCTTTTATTGGTAACGCATCAGTTCTGGTTTTTAATTAGTTGGGACATGGGTCCCTTTTCTGATCTCTCATTGATTCATTTTTTATTCATTTCTCTGTGCAACATAGGTTCAGGTTGTTAGCAAATTATCCCGAAACTGTAACATTTAGTTTGTACTCAAACTTCATGTAAACTATAATACATGCCGGACTTATATGTCTTAATTTTTAATAATACTATCTCCGGTTCTTAATATAAGACATTATTTGATTTTTATTTTTGTTTTAAATATAAGAGTTCAATCCACTTTGTCTCTCGTATTTGTGCATTTTTTTTCAAGTAGTTCTTCTAACAATAATAGTTCTAGCCAATATACTTGACTAGGAAGGATATT